TTTTTTTTTAGGCTACTTTTTCGGGGATTTTAATATAACAAACGCAATTTACAAAAACTTGCGTTGATATTTTGAGATTTCGCTGCTGACGGTCTCCCACGTTTTATTTTATAAGTAATTCATACTATATGAAAAAAGTGCAAAAATCCGTCACCAAAAAAAAAAATTCGAAAATCAATGCGATTTTTTTGCCGCTTGAAACTTGCACTTCATTAGACTAAAATTGTAGGGGCTATAAAACTGCATACCCAAAAATTTTTTGAAAACTTAGAATAAAAAGTTGAAATTTTGATGAAAATTTGTTGAATTTTCCTAAATGTTGTATAAAGTTTGAAACTGTGAATTACACGGTTTTGGTTAAAGCTTAGACGATATTTTCATAAAAAAAAAAAACATTCACCGAAATTTTAAATTGATTTTTCGGAAAAAATTTATGTATAAGAATTCGCGTTGATTTTTATTAATTTTTTTTTTGCTGGCATTTCGAGCACCCTTTACGCAAATGGGAGAAAATGTCTAGCAGCGTCAGAAAAAGAATCCTAAAAATCCACGCAAATTCCAGCACTTCGTGATACTAATTTAATGAGCTATAAAACTACATACCTAAAACTTTTCCAAAAATAAAAAAAAATATTAATTTTGGTAATTTTTTTTTTTATAAAATTTTAAAGAATTATTGAAGAAAATGTATGTTATAGGGTGTGTAATAGACGAGTTGTAGTAGACTCTTATAATTTACATATTTTTTCAAACACTTTAATAAAAATAAATTTTTTAATATTCTACTTTCTTCCACGCAGTTCTATGTGCACGGTAACAATCTCGAGGAACTCTACAAATACGTGCCGAAACATGTGCTTCCGAAAGAATATGGCGGCGACTGTGATCTGCAGACTCTACAAGCTGAGTGGTGGCAAAAATTGAATGATTACAAAAAATTTTTTGAAGAAGAAGAAGAACAATATGGCATAGCTGAAGGTTACGAACGTCTAAAGCAAGTGAAGGATCTCATTGCGGACACTAGCGTATTACAGGGTACTGAAGGCTCTTTTCGGCAATTGGAGGTGGACTAAAGAAACAACGGAGTTACTTCAGTCAGTAATGATCAGCAACCAAAGCAATTAGCAGAATATTTTAAAATTTTTGTACTTTATTTACTTATTACTTATTTAATACAGAATGTATAAGGAAATTGCTCCAGAACAATAAATTAATAAAAAAATAGAAAAAATTAGATTTTATATCAAGGAATCTCTGTGATTTGTCGTGCATAAAACCATTTTTTTTTTCTCGTACTTTATTTCGCATAAGTGCAATAACAAATTTAACAGCATGTCTGTTAATTACTTTTAATGACCAACATGCTAAAACTATTTTTTTTTATTTAACCAAAATTGATCTACTAAATGTAGGTTCAGTTTTAATGAAGCATATAAAAGTTCAATCAAATAAAACAACACACTGTTTATGCTACATCCACAGTGATTACCTTAAGCTCAATTTATAGCTTGGCTGAGTTTTTAAACTCAGTACTAGCGCTAATTTGTGTAGCTTCATTTATGAAATCATACGGTAATCAGTAATGAGCATTTATTACTCAGTTGTTTTTAGTGTATTTACATACAAACGTTTGGAGTCATAACCCAGCAAGCATTTGAAGTCATAAATGAGTCTTTAAAGGGTCCTATTTCGGAGTCTTTACGCTCATAATGGGCATATTTTAGAGCCCAATATGAGGGTATTTATCTTCCTTCGAAGATCGGCTTATATGAGCTTAAATTCATACATCAAATGAGCCTCAATATGAGTCATTTTGGACTCTTATTGGCCAAATATACGGCTCATTTTGGACTCTTTTAAAACCATTTTTAGCCTCATACATACATATATGTATGTATGAATCAGTTCAGACTCTTTTTGAGGTTCTTATCGGGTTCTTATTTTAGGTAGTTCTTATATTTATTATTATTGTAGTTCACTATATTTGCAAAGGCATTCACCAAAAATTTATTTCAAATAGCATATATACATACCTACGTACATACATTCCAACATTCATTTAATAGCAGCAGCTAAATTTTGTTTTTTTTTGTTTTCTAATTATTTTCAGTTTCTGTATAAACAAGTTTCGATATAAATTTCGAATATTTATTGTTTTTATATTTGCACAAGGCGCTGGCTTATAACTTGGATCATATATAACTCCTAAAAGATTCATATAATAAGAGTCACACATTTTTAATTTTTGAAGCTCATATTTCTTACCCCCCTGTATGGTGCATTCGAATTTTTTGTTGCGAAATTCGATATGCATGGGTTAACTTTTTTTCGGCCTAAGAACTATGGCCGATAATTGTGGGTTTTTGACATTGCATCGTACACTGAGCAAAAAATCAACCAAAAATTGGTTAATATTACCAATTTTTAACTTGAAAAGGAATCAATGTGATTTTTGGTTAATTTTAACAATGCCTTGGTTGATGTTTTCAACAATGATTTGGTAATATTAACAACGCTTTTGTTTACATTAACCAAACTTTTGGTTTTCGATTTTTTCGTATGAATGTGTTTTTGTTCTGCACGGATGCTTTTTCATAATTCGGATATGCGAATAACAGCAAGCATCTCTGTACACTCAGCTAATCATACATTCAGCCAATGTCATACATACGAATTTATTCTCACCGCTATTAGTAAATATTTTTTTTGTTTATTTTATTTATTTATTTATTTTTTTTGATGTGGGTTGAACCGGGCTTGAACCCAAGCCATGCGGAGTGGTAGCGCGCACTGCTAATCAATACATCACAGCGGCCGCCAGTAAGTATTGAACAGAAAAAATATTAATTTCTTTAAATTATGTAAATATTTACATATGCTGGACGGATAATCCAGTAATACAATGGCATCGTAAATAACGTGACATATACCAACCCTGATAAACATTGAAGGATTTTTTAGAATGAAGTTTGTTTCAGAGCTCTGTTGCTTTAAACCAGTGCTAGCCAAAAAGAGTAAACTCTTATAATGAGAATGTATTAGTTATGTTACCCAAAATGAGAACGGCCCTATGAAAGAAAATATTTGGTAGAATCTTTATGTATTTTGATTCTTTTTTTTTATAATTTAAATCTGGATTTCTGAGCAAAAAAGCTAACGTTCTTCGAGCACTCTGCATAATAAAAGAAAATGTCATTAATTTCAAGTAGAAATTAAATTAAAATATATTTTTAATTTGAATAAGGTAAAACTTAACATTTGAGAACAATTTGAAATAACGATTAAACATAGATTTGAATAATAATTGGGTACTAGTCCGGTATTTAAAATAAAATTATATAACTAACATTATTACATAACTTACACAGTGTACCTACTTTATTCAACAATAATTCGACATGAACCTATTTCGGCTAATGTTTGCATGCAACGAAATAAAATTTGTTGCTTTTCTACTCTTTCTGTTGACGTTCGGATTGTATACGCGTAAGAAGCTGTTTGTGTACATGTGAAAAGCCGAACATATGTCGTTCGTTTCCCAGGCGGGCATTGCTTTAAACAAATGTTTATTTTTTAATTGTCTTTTAAATATATATTCACTCCTGTGCCTTTATTGGCTTAGTTTTCAAACTTGTAATTTTATGTGCTCCCAAATCGAGTAAATCCGGATCTCGCAAAGAATGTAGCATAAGTAATAACTATGTATACATAACTAGTAAATCTAGCCATCACAAAAATATAATTCTTTCGCTCATGGCCCATTGTGCACCGCGGCATGTTTAAATTTTGAGCGATTTCAAAATAAACGAGTAAGAAAGTCTAAGTTCGGGTGGAGCCGAACAATAAATACCCGGCGCAAGTATTAAATACATATATGTTTTTCACCTTTCCGAAAGCTCTCGCTACATGGTAAGCTGGGGCTCTCAATTTTGAGTAAATTAGAGTCCTTAAATTTCGAAATATTGAAGTTTCAAGCATTTCTAAAATTTATCGTTATATGAAAAACCGTAATTTTAGTCCGATATCAATAATTTTGAACGGTTTGCTTTTATGTGGCAAGCACAATAACCATACCGAGTTTGGTACAAATTGGTAGAACGGTTACCGAGATACATATATGTGATCATAAGTGGGCGGTGCCACGCCCATTTTCCAAAATTTTATCATAAACGTATATCTTGGTAAAGAATTGTTGCAAGCGTAAATTTTGAATAAATTAGCTTTAATATTTTATTTTACTAAAATATCGCAGTTTTCGTATTTCTGAAAATTACCGTTATATGGGAGGTAGGCGTGGTTATTGTCCGATTTCGCCCATTTTCAATACCATCCGTCCTACGCGCGAAAGAAGTACACGTACCAAGTTTCGTTAAAATATCTTAATTTTTACTCGAGTTATCGTGTGCACAGACCCACGGACAGACGGACGGACGGACGGACAGACAGTCACCGCTTAATCGATTTCTCTTTTCATTCTGATCATTTATGTATACATTTGTCTATATCTATCTCGATTCGTTTTGCCTGTTACAAACAACCGTTATGTGAACAAAGTTATAATACCCTTGTGCACAAGTGCGCTCTTCAGTTCTGGCAGCGGCAGCGGGTAAACTCCAAAAAGATGATTTTCCTGTGTATTTTTGGACCACCCCAATGTACTTATGAGCTAAGCTAAATATCTTCGATATCTTACAATTGATTCTGGTCCTTCGAGGTAAGGTTCATCTATTATTAGAACGAAAACGAGTATATCGACTGAAATCCCATTTGCATTTTTAAGTATTTATTGTGGTTTAAAAATTGCAAGTTATGTACTCATAATTAAAAAAATTGTGTGGGTTTATTTACATAAAAAATGCACCGACTCCTAATTTGAATGCGCTCTACAAAAAAGGAGTATACATTTCTCTTAGTCAAAAAATTAACACGCAATTGCCTTATAAGTGATGACAAATTAGAAAATACATAGAAATGGTTATAACAACAAGCCACGCCATAATCGGCATAACAACTTACACTTTGGTATAGGGGTAAAAAAATAAAATTTATTAAATTAAATCGTCAGAATTATATGTAAGTATGCGAGATAACATTGCCTTAACTTTACTATGTTTTATTAAGTGAAAAAAAAACGTTTAATACTTCTAAGTAGTAAAATACATTGAACAATTTTTACTTAACTTTACTTTGTTCCACATCCGGTGCAATGATCTGAGACAGAAGCAAACGGCTAAAGGCCGACCATTCGTGGCGCAGAGCCACATAGTGCGAGTGGTGTCCCTGCTTAATATGATGGATCTGAAGAGGAAAATTGACAAAACCCCGTAATTCCCAGTGCCATTAGTCTTGTCCTTATCGAATAAATGGCACTAAGCTAGTGTGGTTTTCAGATACCAAGCGCTCTCTGATTGTGAGAAGTCATGCTCGGGGTCCTCTGGCTAAGTCACAAAGCCGGAGCAGCCATGCGTCACAAAGATGCTCGAAATTACGCGAAACCATTGATCTTCTGGAACGCCCAAATTAATCTTGGTATAGTGTTTCCGAGTATAACCGTGGTATGAGCTGAGCGGTCAGGAACAACCGAGATAATGCTGTAAAGCAGAAACGGGAAAGCTGCCCAAAGCTTGAAACAATTTACCATCGCAACCGCGTTTAGCAGCAACAGCGTGACCGACCCCGCGACAGGCAGGGAGGAGGCAAGAGGAGTGAAATATAAACGGTGGGTAATAACTGTTATCAAGCAATGCAAAAAATAAACGTTAGGAAATAACTGTTAACAAGCAACGTAAAAAATAAACGTTGGGAAATAACTCTTATTGGCGACGGAAAACATATTTCTCCTGCATAGCAGTTATCAGCGCAACGTAAAAAGTAAACGTTGGGTTATAACTCTTATCGGCGAAGTAAAAAATATGTCTCACCTTGTAACTGTTATGGAACAACTTTTTTCGATAAAACTTATAATAACTGTTATGTCCCTGTCAGAAACACGTGTCATTCAGTGGACTTCTGCTTATTAGGAAATCGCGGGATGTGTGAAAGTTCGCACTTACAGTGGCGAAAATATACATCAGGATGCGATTTTTCAACAAGTTTTGGCTTCTGTTCTTTTGTTTACTTCATGTTTATTATTTATTTATGAAAGTATAGCTCGCTATCTAACAAAAATCANTTTTTTTTTTTTTTGTTGACGGTGTTAAGCATTTTTTCCATACAAAGTATTTTCGAAAATGTTTTTATATGTAGAAAATTATCAACAGAATTGCTATTTCAAACTTGCGATTTGTTATACTAAAATTGTACGGGCTACATAATCAAAATGTTTCTAATCAAATGTTTCTAATTAAAAAGCTGGAAGTTTTTATGAAACTTTGTCAAATTTTCCTAATTTTTGTACAAACTTTGAAATTCGGATTTGCCTGGTTTTTGTTAGTTAACGAGCTATCCTTTTATAAAAATATAATAAACATCAAATAAATACAAGAAAAATACCCACAAAATGTTAAAGAGTCGTCTCCCTATTTATATTTTCGCCACTATACATATCTAGAATGTCCAAAAATACATGCGGGAAAAAGTTTAAAATGTTACGCTCTCACCCGCCATGATTTTTCAAAATAGAAAAAAAGAATAACCGTTTTTTTTTTTTAAATATATATAGAAATGGCTAAAAGCCCATGAAGTTTTCCATTTACTTTAGTTCGTAGAAATGGTGTAGAACTCTTGAAAATCAATATTTTTCGATCGATCTGTTTTTCTTAGGAGACTCCCAATAAAAATACCCAATTGTTTATTAAACCACTTTTTAATACTATTTTTTTAAAAAAAATCGTTAGTATGTGTAGGGTTTGTATTTGTGTTATTACCTTTTATTGTACTGTGTTCATTTCACCTTTGTAATTTTGGAAATTTTAGATTTATGTGATTTTTGTGGTTCGTCGATCAAATAGAAAATTTTTATTATTCAAACTTTTCTCGAATTGTTAACAACGTAAAATAAAATAAATTTTGTTAACTTATAATAATTAAATTTATTTAAGAATAAATACCTTTTTAAAACCCTACATTTTACATCAAACGTTTGATAACAAATCAGAGCCACTAGCTTTCTTCTCTAAGAAACTTTCTCCATCCGAAGTTAAGTACAGTGCATTTGACAGGGAGTTGCTAGCTATTTATTTGAACATTAAACATTTTCGCTATCTTTTAGAAGGACGACAATTCACAGTTTTTACGGATCACAAGCCTTTGATGTATGCTTTGAGTTCGAAAACCGAACGTAGTCCGAGACAAACTAGACATATGGAATTCATTGCGCAATTTACTAATGACATACGATATATTAAAGGACAGGAGAACATTATAGCTGACACATTATCTCGAGCTTTCGAAGTTGATGCAATTAAGGGTACAGAACTGAATTTCAAAGTTTTACAAAATGAACAAGAACAGGACGAGGAACTAAACACATTAAAATCTGGAGACACATCACATAACCTTAAATTAATTCAAATTCCACTTTTAAATTTTAATATTTGGTGTGAAATGACAGGTGAGAATCCTAGGCCATTTGTTCCAAATTGTTTACGCAAGACAGTGTTTAATATGCTACATGGCATTACACATCCTGGTACAAAAGCTACACGTCGTCTAATTATTAAAAAGTACTATTGGCCAAAAATGCACAAAGAAATTAATATTTGGTCAAAAGAATGTATAAATTGTCAAAAATCGAAGGTTAATCGTCACACAAAATCTCCAGTAATTAAAATTCCGATTCCCAAAAGTAGATTTGATCATATTCATTTAGATATTGTTGGACCTCTTCCTGTATCGAAAGGATATCGTTACATTTTTACAATAGTTGACAGGTTCACGCGTTGGCCCGAGGCATATGCATTAAAGGACATTTCAGCGGCAGTGGTTGCAAATAAATTTTTTAGAGAATATGTTTCACGTTTTGGGGTACCGTTAAAAATCACTACAGATCAGGGTACTCAGTTTATGTCAAAATTGTTTTCGGAACTAACAAAATTGCTTGGTAGTCATCACGTTACAACTTCTGCATATCATCCTCAAGGGAATGGTATGGTAGAACGGTTTCACAGGCAGTTAAAAGCTACGATAATGGCTAGAAATGGAATCAACAAATGGTATGATGAGCTGCCGATAATACTTCTTGGTTTACGATCGATGTATAAAGAAAGTATTTCAGCCACATCATCTGAGATGGTTTTTGGGCAAAATTTACGCCTACCCGGTGAACTTGTTGTTCCATCTGAAGAAAAATTTTCCCCAATTGAAGTTTTAGGTAATTTACGGGAACATTTTAAAAATGTTAAATCAAATTTAAGGCATAATCAAAATTCTGATACTGGTGTATATATACCAAAGGATTTGGAGACTTGTAAATTTGTTTTTATGCGTGTTATTAATAAAAGATCATTGCAACAACCATACGAAGGACCTTATAAGGTTGTTGAAAAAACAAAAAATATTTCAAACTTGAAGTAGATAATGAGGTTAAAACAATTCCGATAGACAGACTAAAACCAGCAATCATTGAAACAGAACTAATACCAGAAACAAACACTAATACAATGAATAACACAACATCAAATAAGAAACGAGTTACTTTTAATTTATATAACATTAATTCTCTAGAAGGGGGAGTATTGTAGGGTTTGTATTTGTGTTATTACCTTTTATTGTACTGTGTTCATTTCAACTTTGTAATTTTGGAAATTTTAGATTTATGTGATTTTTGTGGTTCGTCAATCAAATAGAAAATTTTTATTATTCAAACTTTTCTCGAATTGTTAACAACGTAAAATAAATAACTTATAATAATTAAATTTATTTAAGAATAAATACCTTTTTAAAACCCTACAGTATGTATTAAAAAATGGTAAAATAAAAATTGAGTATTATTATTGAAAGTCTCCTGAAGAGACTTTTCCGATCAAAAATATTAATTTTCAAGAATTGTATACCATTTCTATGAAAAAGTGTTTTTTCCGCATATAAAATACATGGACTACTCTATAGGCTTTTTGAGGCAGTTCTAAATATCATGATTTCTTTCCATTTAGAAATTAATCGATTATTTTTGTTAAATTTACGATTTAACTGTATCATAGTTTTGTGTTTCATTAATCCATTACTAATCGATTAATTGTAAAATAATCATAAAAATATTTTCAAGCAATATGAATTCTGTAGTTTTCTAAAACCCACTCATCGAACATCCTTTTTTGCTAGCTGCAACAACTTTACTCGTCCCGAGGTTCAAAAAAATTAATTTCAAAGATCCGTTCAAGTTCTTGCGAACTTAATAATGTGTAATGAAAACAAGAAGCGAGTCGTCACTAGAATCAGTAGAAAATTAAGGCGAAAAGGTGATAATTTGAGCCACCCACAAGATGAAATGTGTTTTTCTTTAAATTGTCAAGTCCTAGAACTAAAGTGGAATATCATCGACGCTTAGGAGGAAATGAAAACTGTTTACCCCAAACTCTACGGACTTTCGAAAAAATACTGTCATTTAGTTGTTATCTCGGTGCCTGCTGCGGTGCCGCCTTTTGTCAAAAGCTGGTTCTACAGTCACCGAGAAATGCGACAGCTTAACAAAAAAAACATTTATCAAAGCTTTTGTTTTTGCAAACTTGGTTAAATAATAAATAATTATCGCTGCTAAAAATACTAGTTTTATTCTATTTAAGGCTAATTACCTTGTAATTAGAAGTCTTTTATGGAAGTGCTTTTGTGAATACTCACTGTAAAAAAGTTACTTTAAAAATTCGATTAATCGATTATATTTCAATAATTGCAATTAATTGCAATTAGTTTACTTTTGTCTTGTGATTAATCATATGATTAATTAATCGATTATTTAATTTTTTTTCCATCCCCATTCAAGACTTGTTTACACTATGCCACCTAGGTTGCCGACAATATTTTTCGACAGATTCTTCCTTAACTTTAATCTCGTTAATTCAAACTGAGGCCGTTAATAATATGGACCAAAAACAGACAGATATTTCATTTAACAGCGCTTGTATACGACTGAAGACCTACATATTTCGGTGTTAAATTAACAGATAGTACTGTTTCTCCCTAATTTGTCAATGTGTATTCACTTCTTTGACGGCAAATGCCATTGGATGATACGTATGTATCAGTAGCATCACAATTTACCAATTTATCTAAATACATATATGTATAAATACACATTGAAATTACAAGAGTATATACATCGTGTATGCTAATGTAAACAAAATGCTTTTAACCAATTTTGACAGACAGACAATTGACAAAATGAGCAATGGCCAATGAAACAACAGCAACAAAATTAAACTAAAATCAATGCTTGTAATCATAACTAACATTTCAGATAAAAAAAATAGTGACTGATAGTCAATTGGTATGCTGATGTTCATAATATTTATAGAACATTTACATATGTTAGTATCAGTGTTCCCAACAAGAGGGGGATATTCAACAATGATGTTGTCTAACGTCAGTACGCCTTATCTACATATCATATAAGTACATTACCTAAGTAGAATGTATGTATGTAGGAATAAATATAAGCACCGCTTCATAATTGCTTTATCAATCGAGACAGGTGGACAACTTGGCGGCGACAAATGGACGATCCTCCGCAGCACATCGCACCGCGCGTTTGGTTGGTTAGGACTCTGCCCGCCTAATGAAAGTGTGACACTTTCCGGAACCAACGTAAATGCATTTAATACGCAAAAGCTTCTAATGAAAGTGAGTTGGGATTCACAGTAGTTTGCGTTTATCAAATTAATTTAGCAAACAGTTGTGCCAGAGCAATGATGATAATAGCAGGTGGATCCTTAAGCGACTAAATTTGTATTTATTTATTGGTGCATAAATGAAGTTTTAATGGATGAGCATTTACATTCAAGTGTAAGAACGTTACAAGAATGGTGAGAAAAAAAATTAGATGTTTTTTACTAAACGGTGTAAGCGTGCAAAGGATTTGTGCTGTAATTTATTATGCCCTGTGCATTATGAGAATGTAACAGAAAAGGCAACATAGGTTGTATTTTCAAATTAACAGGAAATAAAGCATGGACATGACTGGAAGTTATATCCTTTCTAAGTTAATTTAAAACGTGTTTGTTTGAAGGAGTGCATAAATTTTGCATGAAAGAAATATGTAAATAATAATTACACCGGCAAACAAAAAAAAAGTGGTGTATGCTTTTAACCAGAGGTCGTTTGACTCATACACCTCCTAAATCTCGCGCAAATTACGAAAAACTGGCGAAAAATTCACAATTTTCGCAATTCACTCGAAATTTTAGGGAGTGCAGGGGGCAAACGAGCCAGTATTCGGATTCAGTGGGTCGAAATACATGCCGGTAGGTGGGTCTGGTTAAAAGCTCACACCATTTGTTTGTTGTGGGCCAGCGTTATATGGGCAATTCTCAATTAGTTCGAATGTGAATAAATGTGTGACTCAATTTTATTTTTTTTTTTTACGTTGCAAAAATTGGTGCGTTGATTGGTCATGTTTGAGTAGTATTTGGAGAGGAGAATCGAATGCACCCCGTTAGAAATATGTGCTTGCAATAGAAGAAGTTATGAAGAGTCGAAGTGGCGTGACTCTTTTTTTTTTAATTCTGACACTCGCGCCTTTTATAGTATACTGTAGCTGGTGCCTACCTAAAACTGTTATCGGACAACTTTAATAGTGTTCTGGAGCATAAGAGGAACCAACCTAGACATGGCAGGCTTATGTGCTCTCATTAGAAGATAGTTACAAAAAAACTTGAAAAGGTTACGATGCGTGCACTAAAGTAAAAATGCATATTTTTTATTAGCACATCTTCTGCAATTAGAAAATTTAGCAAAATACGTGATCCTCGTGCACTACTTTTTTATTTATTCTTTAAAAAGTTACAGAGCGAAAAGAAGTAAGAAAAATTACAAAAAAAAACATATATATACATAATACCAAAGGCATTTTTTGTCCATGTCATCAAATCTGCACCATTCGTTCGATTTTCGAAAATGATGTGTCAAATGAAAGAGCTTGGGCTGTAGATGCTAGGACTTACCGTTGATTTTCGGCAGTTTATATTAGGATTTTTTTTTTATATGAAAATAAAAAAATGCCAAAAATGAACGGTAAGTCCAAGATACTTAAAATTTGCACTTTGATAGCTAAAGGATATGGAAATTTAGCTATCGAAATTTGTAGATTTATCCAATTTTATCGAGTTATCGGAATTTAGTTTTTTTGATACTCATTGAGCTATCAACACGCATCGAATTGTCGATCGAAATTTATCGACTAACTGAGATGTACCGAGTTATCAATATTAAGAAAGGTTTTAAAATTAGTCAAGTTAACGATAATTGTGGACATACATAGTGCCCCATGGTTCACATGTTACCCTATTGAAATTGTGTCAAATAAGTTGATAATGGAATATGCCAATTTCTCGTGAAATACTAAAAATGATAGGTCCAATCCCGTATTCCTCGGATTAAAACTAGTAAAACTGTAAAAAAAATACGCTCAGAGCGAGAGAGTAACACTGAAAAGAAGGGGATCGATTTCTAGTGAAAAATGGTAACTTCTGTCAACTTAAACATAACCTCCAAATTTGGGTTGTAAATTTTTGCTTATTTTGTATGTAAACACACTCAGGGCACACATGTAAATAACCAAAAATACTTTCAAATGCATTGATTCCACTTAAACAATTAATTAAATGCTTTTCAACATGCATTAGCAAAATGCCCTTTTGTTTTATTTGCAATTTGGTTGCCAAACACGCTACAGCTGATCGTTTGACATTTACCAGACCAATTTACCGGACTAAAACTGTTGACTTCTGACAGAGAGAGGACCTCATTTACTCTCTTCTTTGTCCTCTCAATTGTCAGCGAACCGAGTACGGGATCGATTTTCAGTAACATCTGACTAATTCTGACTAGTCCGTACGGGATCGCAACTAATAATAATTTCACTACTCTTTTCGTCCATAGATCAATTACAGCAACATTAATTTCCCAGAGGATCGCATATGGCTACGCATACCCGACTGGGAGATAGCAGTGAAAATCAGCACATTTGTACCTGTCATCATTTTTGGTTTGTATGGAAATTTCGTCTTACTCCAATTGATTGTGCTGAATCGTGCGCTACGCACACCAACAAATATGCTAGTGGCTAATATGGCGGTAGCCGACATGTTGACGCTACTGATATGTCCAGCAATGTTTATGATAACTGATTTTTACCAGAACTATCAATTGGGCTCGTTTGGTTGCAAGGCGGAAGGATTCTTAGATGTCTCTTTCCTCATAACAGCCGTTTTAAATCTAGCAGCTGTAAGTTATGATCGTCTAACAGCAATCGTACTACCGACGGAAACACGCTTAACAATGCGGGGCGTGAAATTTGTAATTTCCTTCACATGGTTGGGTGGATTTTTATTTGCTATGCCATTGGCCTTGTATAGGACGTATAAGGTTTGTATGTACATAAAATTGAATGTCGATATTTATTTTTAAAAAACTTTACAGTTAATAAACTATTCAAGATTATCTGTATTGATTTTCTATAGGTACGGCAGTGGAAAAACTTTAAGGAAATGTATTGCAAGGAGAATCCAGACATTTTACCCAAATATTGGTATGTGCTAATTGCGGTGATGGTATGGTTGCCGCTCAGTGTAATGTTGATCTGTTACACGGCGATCTTCTTCAAGGTAGGCGAAATGAGAACAAATAAAAAAAAAATGTTATCAAATTATAATTTCTCGTCTACTTCTGCAGCTCGATCGCTATGAGAAGCGCGTACTTAACCGCGAGCATCCACTCAGCGTATCTTACAAGAAAAAAGTGGCCAAAACTCTCTTCATTGTCGTTCTCGTTTTCATTGCGTTTCGTCTGCCCTTCACCTTATTAGTTATTTTGCGTGATCAGTATGTAACAAATACGGATACCGCTGTGAATAGTAGCTTTCGCATACTTTTGTATATATCACAGTTTCTAATGTTTTTGAATGCAGCCGTTAATCCACTGATCTATGGTTTTAACAATGACAACTTTAAACGCGCTTACGATCAAACGCCATTGTGTTGTTGTAAACGAAGGGGAAATAAATTGGAATCCAACGTAAGTGACATTAAATTGTTTCAAAACCTTAGTTTGTATCTAATACTTATTTTAAATATTTTAAATATTTTGAATTATTTTTATTCTCTTCCTGCTTAATTAGAAAGCTTCCTGTCGCAAAGGCTGCTTGAGTCATCTGAGCAAGTGGTTTAATCAGATCTGCTGTGCGGTTTGTTTTCATAGTGAGAAACAGCTCTCTTTTGTTGAAGATCCACAAGCACAGGGCGGAGAGGCAATACGTAGTGGAGCAGTGGAGCCGCATACGCTGACAAAAGAGATGAATTTAGAAAATGCGAAAACAGCATATAACCGTTTTGACAATGAAGGTTACCATAATAAAGTTATGAGTGAAGGTTTCATTTAACTTTTAAATTTAAAAATATGTATACACATTTTTAATAAATGTTATTGTTGTGTTAATGTTTGGAAAGTTATGGTTCATAATGCAATAGGATATTTATTTAACCAAAAAAAGGTTGTCGTTTTCTGATAAATGCAAAACGAAGGAAAAAACTACTCAGCAAATTAAAACTAAATTAGGAAATACAGTGACTCAAAGAAGTGTTCACATGTTGATATTTTATAAATATTCAATGTGTTTCAAGCAACAATTTTGTTGAAAACACCAAATCCATATACACTCGTGGTCACGCAAACCTTACCACCATTTTTTTTTAATACATATGTACATGGGTAGAATTTTGAAAATTTATATTTATACTAGGTCAAGTTTACCAAAATTTCAGACTCGGGTATGCAGTTTAATAGCCCATTTAATTTTAGTATAACCATGTGCAAGTTTGAAGTGTCCCAAAATTCTCGGTGAATTTTGTAAATTTTTGCCAACGGTCATGTGTAGTCATGCTTTTTGCATGGGAAAAAATGTGCAACATCGTATCGAAAAAAAAATACCAAAACTCAGCCAGAGTTTTAGCTACTTCAAAATTGCACTTTATTGCACTAAAACTAAATTGACTATCATACTGCATACCCGAAATTTTCCTAAAAATTTAGATGATGATTTTGATGAATTCTTCTAAATTTGGTAGAAAGAATTAAACTTTTATTTATATGTGTATGTAAATTTTGTTACAGTGTGAACGATATTTAAAATAAAAATTATTAACTTACAAAGTTCTGCCACGATTGTGCATAAACCAAAGTTTTAAACTTTATACGAAATTTAAAACAATTCAACAAAGTTTCATCAAAATTTCGAACTTTTTAATAAAAAACTTTTGAGTATGCAGTTTTATAGGTATTCGCAATTTAATTTCAAAATTGTACTCGTTACATGCAAACAACATCAAATCAGTAAAAAAAATAATAAAAATCAACGCGAGCAGCATGAAACAAAGTGCAAGTTACAATAAAATTTTATGGGCTATAAAACTGCACACCCATAAGTTTTTTTTTTTACTTATATCAAAAAGTTCGGAATTTTGACGAAAATTTTTTTAATTTTCCTAAATATAATTTAAAGTTGAGACTGCGATTTGTATGGTGGTTTTGCTTAAAGCATAAACAAAATTTTTATAAAAAATATAACAAAGCAACTTGAAAAACATTGTGAATATAAAAAAAATCAATATATGAACACTTGTTTGAGTCACTGTAACTCTATGGTTTTTCCTAAAGAAGACAGATTTTTAAATAAGGAAGAAAACCCTAGTCAATATTGTTTTTTTTTAAGTTTATTACCTTGCCTAATTAAAAATATAAAAAATTCGTTGAACTGGCATCGCACTCTGGATCTGGAAAATTTTAAGGAATGTCACATACACACATCTAGCAAAGGGTTAATAAACGTGTCATTGAATTAGGCGTGTTTTGCTCTATGCACCAACTCATCTCCCATGCATAGCCTCATTTTACAGTTACGAAGTGGCTCTTCTACTCCTATGCAAGTATGTACATATATGATTGTATATAAAAGAAATCCCTTTTTTGTGTACGCTTACAGTTGTAATTTGTTATTTATGCGAATGAGCAAAATTAATCGCACGAAAATAATTGTTAATAAAACTAGTTAATTCTTGTTCAATTAATCTTGTGAAAATGTTCTTTCATCTATTTATATTGGTTTTTATGAATTGTGTTAATAATTGCTTGTTTTTTCATGTGAATTTTCAATATTTTTATGGCGCACAACTCGAACCGTTTAATACGCAATTACAAAAACGTGAAATGGCACAATTTTTCGATAAAGGTAAGAGCATGAGGAGGCAAAAAGTGAAAAAAGGATCGTATATACAAACGCCTAGTTTAGATTTTTATTGTGAAGTAAAATTTTTTATGATTTTACAATTGTTGTTGGGCATTACTGTAGAAGAACAACATTAGGAAGAGACAATTTTCAAAATTTTCTTATACGGGTAAATCATAGTACTTATGTATGTATGAATGCGACTAAATCCACACAGATTTAAAAGATCATAAAAGTAACAAAATTACTCGACTTTTTCATATTGGGAGTATCGTGGAAACATTGCTATTTTTATTGCATAAAATTACCATATTTAGGTAGCAAAATGGAATTTATAATATTTTGAGCATTTTAAGGTTATAAACCATATGTAAGGTTATAAACCATATGCATTTCTGCCTTTAGTTATAAAAAATTGATATGGTGCGCTAACTGACTGCTGAGTCTCTTCAAAGTTATTTTTCTGCGTTCCGCTATTCGTTCAGTTCAACCGTTCATCCAACTCGCAACTAATCTAAACCGAAAAGCTCCTTTTTCATGTAGCCCGACTTATGCGTCTCCAAAAATTTAATAAACAGTCCCATATTCATTACACCATCCTCATTATCCAGATTATCGCAAAAGAGTTGCTCTTTGAATCCCTCGAAGCGCCGTCGTTTCTGCAATTTACCCTGCCACGGTTCACTCTTACAAATAGTTATGTGCTGCCAACGCATAGCCTTAATTATGCGCCAAAAATCTTGCGTATGCTCACGTAAACCCTCCACGCATATAATACCCGGCTTGCCTGGACGCGAAAATCCAGTCAAATCCAAATTGCGCGCTTCTCTTTGTATTTCTTGTCGCTTCTTTTTCGACTTAATGTGATGCGAGTATATCCATAAACGTTCACATTCAATTTCATTCTCATTTTCCTCCACCAATCCATCGTTCTCCTCAAATTCACTGGCATCACGTGCAATCAGTGCAATTAGTTCGTCTTGTAACCAGGAGACCACTTGGAATACATAGCATTCAGTCTTATCCATTGTCTCGATGTACTTTTCAATTTCACGCTTCAAATACAACTCTTTAGTTTTGCCCAGCAGCGCGCTGAAAACCGTGACAATCGCATTCTCTAGCAATGGATATAGGTGCGGTAACTCAATGCGTATATCCATTTTATCTTTTCGTTGTCCATGCGCCACCGTCAAAGTGATCGTGTAATCTAAGTGTGCCTTCAGCGCGATCGTGGGCACAGCTGTGGGCATATTAAGGAAGTCATTGAAATCACCTATAACGCTCGCATCGAAAATATGCATTTCGCCGGGTGTACAATAGATCGATGACAGCATGTCGACCTCCTCCAGTTGCTTCGAAATACATTGCACATAAAGATCTTGTTCGTCTAGTTGCTCGTGCTGTGGCGCTTGTTGCTGCGTATCCGTCATTGCTGGAAGAACAGAAATGTCCAATCAGATCGGTATAAAATATATTGGTACTTATACATAGAAACGTATATAGCGCCAAGTATATTATATGCCGATAGATAGATAAATATTTCTGTACTTGATTTTAAGCAGCGAGGTTTTGTGCTTGTATACACAGGTAAATAAAACGTAACATATGGATCAGACTTTGGGAAATCGGCTATCCATAGTTTTCAGTGAAATGTTGAAAAAACACAGTTCTAGTTGATCGTTAAAATTATACAAAATTTGTTTCTTTCTTTTACTTGTACTAAAGTTATTGATTCAGTTTTTGATATTTTTTTTAACCAAACCACATAGTCTTTGAAACAACTAATCGATTTAATGAAGCTTTATGATGTCAGAACGATTGAAACAAACGAGAAGTGAGTGTGAGTTGGTAAACGTGATAGTGTGCCAGGTTAATGGAGATTTTTACAGACAAAGCAAGCGTTGATAAACCGCAGATGGGCAGAGAAAAAATTGTAGAGTACTTGAACATGGTATGGAGACATATGAAATCCATCCCATACTCTTAGAGAAAATGGGAGCTATTGTAAAAGGGAGTGTGGCGCCTTTCAAACGCACTGCAGCTATTACGTATCTTTGTATGCATATACACTTTTGCTAGGTTATTTAAGATGGCAATGAAATATGCATTCTGACAACCACCAAACCGTCACTGAAAATCATGAACGTTAAACTGTTGGTGAAAATGTTGGACCAAAATGTTTCAATATGTTTTTAATAAAATTGCAAGTATTTTCGAAAATATTAGTCCTACATAATTTTTTTGTAGAGAATCGAAGTAAGCTAAGAAAAAATTCGTTTAGCACTTGAACTTTGATGGAGTTGGGCGAGCCTAAGATGTTGACCGAAAATTGTCATCTTTAGCAAAGATTGTGTTTAGACCATAATGAACCATATTTTTGCTATTACCAATCAAAATTGTAAAAACGCGGATTTTCGCCCAAAGCTACTAAACGTGCCAAACGAGAAACAAATAAGAGCATAAATACGGTTTTTCAAAATATCTCGACCCTAGCGCCACCTAACGAGGCCATTTTTGGCAAAAAATTTCTGCTTACATAACCAGTATATATATTATAAAAAGCAGCCAAATCGGTCTATAAATAAGTGAGATATAGGACTTTTAATTTTTTTACGCGGTAGACTTTTCGCTGGAATCGCCCATATATGGTTTATCAAGTCGAATAAACTGCAACTCGTAATGGGCCAGAGTAACACGAGCCTCTCCACAAGAAAAAATGTATGCATAGCCAGACGACAGACAGTTCGTACTCTCGATAAAAAGTTTGCCTCTGAATATGGTTATAGATTATCCCTCATTCGGCATACATATTTAGCAAAATCATCTTAATTAATATTTTTTTTGTTTCTTTTAATAAAGATATCGTCAAGTATGGAAAATTTTTAATAAAGTTTCGGGAAGTGTAATTTTACTTGAGGTTTAAGTAGAATAAAACAACTTGCATTAACAAAACTTTGCATTAAAAAAAAATTATAGTTTAAAAAACTAAAACCTCGCTATTATAATTTTAATTCGTACTGTCATCAGGTATGTAACTTGAGAATAGAAATCTCTGCATCTTTTAGGCGCATCAATATTACATACAGCCGTATTCTTACAAAGTCACAAACTTAAGCTCATCACTGCTGTGATTTCTACTGCGCCTCAAAGCTTGCCACCGCAAAAAATATGCCGCCACAATACAAATTTTTAAATTTTTGTGTATTTTTCTAGCACTCAAAATTGATTTTTTTGTGACACATTTCTCGGCGCACAAGAAATCACAACAGTGATGAGCTAAGTTTTGTGACTCTGTTTGAATAGAGGGGATAGTCACATCCCGAGCTAATAAAAGGGAGGTAAAAAGAGCCGAGGTTTGTAAACTTTAGCCTCACGAAGGCAGCGCATTTAAGAAGAAAATGCTAAAATGTTCCAAAACTCCATTCATAGTTTCCCCTGCAAAAATCGTTGGACCATGTAGTCTATTTGTGGTAAATTGGAGTACTTACAAAAGTGTTCCTCTGTCATGCTGTAGCGGACCAACTCGTGTCTCTGCGCCAGCTTATTGTTTGTTATCCGATCACTGCTCGTGTTTTAACGAAACGTGATTGAAGTTGAGCATTTGAAAGCACATTTGCATGTCTGGCTTTAGCTGAACGTGTAGAGATGCTCGCTGTTAGTTCTTAGCTCCCAGCATGTTCGGGTTCGAATGCCGTGAGAGGCAACATGTAATTTTTAATTTTTGTCTTGGTTTTTATTAATTTCGAAAAAGCATTTGAGAAGTGAAGAAACAAACGAAAAAATATAACAACAATGCCATTGTTAATATGTTGGAGTAGTTTTGTGCTACTCTGATGTAATACAGGGATGGAATATATGGTCCTGCCCTAGGACATCGCAATGTTAATTGGACCATATTTTTTATATGAATTGTGGTTAATTTTGGAGTACTCCTTGGTCCTTAGGGAGTACTCTTTACACGCATGCATGGAGTAGTCGCGATTTTTGCAGGGTCATCCCCTTTTCGTCGTTTATTATAAGCTTTTTTTTAATTTATGTTTAGCCGCCTATTCCTTTAATGGTCTCGAGAAAATCGAGTCAGTGCCTGTGTCGTTTCCAATCGATATCTGCGTGCTCCCATTGGAGGGTGTTAAATATGCAGCGGCGTTACATAGAAATAAAAATGGCGTGCGACATTTTACAATATATAAAAATGTGGTACGTATAAAGTATGATCTAAAATGCATTCAAGTTTACTTGCAATCACTTGGAAATGTATTTTTCCAATCAGAACCACAACTACCGCGAAATGCACACCATTGCCACGCCCAATGCCACCGCGATGGATTGCAAATCTCTCGGCCCCAAGGGATACATCGCTTTGGCATTCAATCTCACACAACCCATTGAGAATGCACGCGATGGATCGCCGATCTACGAACTCACTGCTGATGATCGCCTACGCGCTGTACAATATTTTGCTGCTACACATTTATATTCCATTTATTTACGCACCACCGGTAACGACCTGTTTATGCTGCAAACATTCCGCAGCAGCGGCAAAACATCTCAACCGCGTTGCCCCTACTACAAGTGGTCGGGTACATCGTTTACCTTACTCGCGCGTATTCCATGCAGCAATGCGCGCCATGTCGAACCGTTTGCCATCAACTATGAGAGCTATGTGGCTTTGGCGAATTATGCCGATCAAACGGGACGCACGACAACGTATTCGGAAATTTATAAATTTGTACATGAAAAGAAGCAATTTCAGCTTGTGCAGAAGATACGCACCTATGGAGCGGTGGATGTGCGCTACTTCAGTGTGCCACTGGACGAGGTTAGAAGGCGGTATTTTCTTGTGTTTGGAAATTCGGTAAGCAGGAGGCGTGGTAGTGATGGAGATGCCAATGAAGTGGATTCAGTATTTTACCTTTTTGATAAAGGACAATTTGTACCTTATCAGAGTTTACCGTTATATGCGGTGGAGCAATTCTTGCCAGTGCAGGTAAGGGAAGTTGTTTTTAAATCGTAAATTACAAAAAAAAAATATACATTTTATCTCAACTCAATAAAGAATATGGAAGCTGAGAAGTTTTTGCTGCTTATTGCTAGTAAGGATCAAGATGCTAAAATTTATAACTTGAATGATTGGAAATTCGAGCCGTCCGGTGTTCAGTTCACCGAAGGTGCCTTGAGTCAGGGTGTGTCGAAAATGCGAATTTATCAAGAGAACGAAAAAAGCTACTTAGGTGAGTTTTAAAAACTTTGACTACGATTTGTGTAAGTGAACACATTTTTAAATTCCAGTGATTGCGAATGAAAAGATGAACGAAAATGATACCAATATATTTTTACCGATCTTTAAGCAAGATGAACATGCGAATGCTTTACGACAACAGATCATCGATTGGACTAAAATGCAAATAGGGCGTTTGTCGCAAATCAATGTAAATAAATTGAAAAATGATGTAGAGGTAAGAGAGCATAACATTTAACAAATATAGTTAGAAATACTAATTACCTTTCCAGCAAAAACTCGCACAAAACGAAATCCAAAAACAAAGCAAACATTTTAATGTTCAATTACGAGATATTCTACAATCAGACATACAAACAGTGACAACTAATTCGGTAAGCATGGATAAAAAATGTACATAGTATATTAACAAAATTAATGTTTTACTTAATTTACCCAAAAAACATAGTTCGTTTATCCGAAACATCATTTTACCAGCCACTACTGGCAGGCATTGAATTTCGCCACCCAAGCTGTGATTGGCTTAGAAGCTGAACTCAGCTCACCTACTGCAAAGCGTCTCAAACGCTCCACTAACGTCACTAGCGACCCAATCATGGAATTCGCCAACATCAAAGTCGACACTCTTGTTATTAAGGAACACCTGCAAGCAAAGCAAGTGAATCGTGTCGAATCCGCACGGCCCACTCTTGAGCACATTAAGGCAAAGAAGGTACGTGTTACGGGCAAGTATGAAGTGCCTGAACGGTCGCCAGCGGCTGATGGACCAACGATGGTACCGACAACGTCCTCGCTGGCAGTGAAGCATCTACGAATCAATGGAAATTTGAATGAGTACAAGTGGCATGATTTGCTCAACCATACACTGAAGCGTGAAGGTATGCAATTTGTAAAACAGCCGACCCATATGGCTAGCCTAGTGGCAGAATCTGTACGGGTGTTAAGCGATGAAATTGACGGCAATAATTTGCTTAAGCTCATACCAATTGATGGTGGCGATAGCGCTGCTGATGCCAGTACTTATGTGGTCAGGCAGTCAGTACGCTTTGAAGGACCTGTAAAAGCTAAAGAGCTATTAATACATGAGCGTTTAAATCAAATACAAGTGCGACAGAATAAATTAGATGTGCTGCTTAAGAACGCGAATGAGACGCAGGTGGTGGACGGTGCAAAGAGATTCGAGCATGTGCGCATTTTGCAACCGATCGCAATGGCGGTAAGTCAAGGGGTAAGTAGAAAATCATTTGATATGATTTGAAATTGAAATTAGAACACAAAGATGTCGGTTAACACTATGCCATGAATACTTTTAGATGTAAATTTTTTGCGTTTGTAAATGATTTGAGTTTTTTTTTATACACAATGTCCCTCTTAAAAAAAAAACTATTAGAACATTTTTCCAAAACTTATTCGAGACATAGTTGTTATCTTTCTCCCAATTAACTTGCAGCTCTTTTTTCGGCAAATACTGTACTCCCTCTTACAATTTATTATATTTCCTTTCTACCCTAGGGCCAAACGCTCGGTTCGCGCTTACAATCATTGTCTCCGCAACAAATCATACATAACGAGCTCATCCTCAATGGTGACTTTATAATCAAAGGGGATGCGATCGTTTCCGATTTTTTAAGTGTCGGCGATTTAATAGATCGTAACTCTCAAATGAGTACCAAGCAAACACTACTGAATGGACTCGATATTACGCAGCCACTTGAGGACGTCAACATTAATTTCGAGGAGACACTGGAAGCGAATAACACGATATTAACATTTATCAATGCAGTTGACATGCAGCAGCTCATTAAAACGAATTTCAAGCACTTGCAAGTACTCGAAGGTGAGAAGCATTTCAAAAAGGCGCTCGAAATACGTAGAGGTTTCAGTGAAGTGAAATATTTAAATGGCATAGATATAGAAAGTTTGACTGAACGTTTATTGTTTAAGATCGCGAATCAAAGCGTGCAAGCGCCAATGCATTTTGGTAAATTACTAACTTATAGGTAAGTGCATGGAAGCATATCATATTCAACATTATATAGCTATATATTAATACAGATCTTCAAATGTAGCATTACAGCAAACCATATAAAGATGAAGGATAAGCCACTAGACTCGTTTCTCACCCGTACTGGAAATCAACATATGCCTATCACACTATCTGTTACAGAGTTGAGTACGCAGACATTGAATATTGAGAAACTACAAACTAATGGACGTATTTTTGGGAAGGCAAAGACCTCTGACGATGAACAATCCCTAATAGGACAATTATTGTCCAATCAGTCTAGACACATGGATTTATTGCCACCAAATCGAAAGTTTCCGAATACAATATTCGTTGATAATTTACGCTTGAAAGATGGCAGTGTCAATGGACTTAACGTGCATGACATAGAAAAGAAGCTGAAGCATCTTAATGCTGATATAAAATTTGAAGGGAATTATAAATTTAACTATGATATGAATATAAGCCAGCTAACGTTTCAAGGAAAATTCAATGATATAGCGGCGGAGTTATTTGGTCGCTGCTGGTTGCAGAAAAGCGGCATGCAAGTGTTCACCGTGCCGCAAAGTTTTTCAGAGGTGCATTGTTCAAAGGGTGTGACACTCGATGGCTCACTTAATGGACGTGCATTAGAGGATTTCTATACGAAAGCCTATTGGACAAATCGAAATGAGTATATTGATGCAATGAAGTTCCGTAAGTACCCAGTTATAATTACAGATAATGACTTATGTGTACAAAAGCCATTCTTGGCTAATCAACTAGGTACTTTTAACCGACTTCAAATCAAGTAATTTTTAACAAAAAACAAAACCCACTTTTATTCCCTTATAAATGTTTATGATTATTGTTAATTTATTCATGATCCCTTGATCGGATCTAAACTAAATTAGTATGGGACCACCTCTGAGGTAACACCTTCCTTAAAAAAAAGAGAAATCGGTTAACGTGATCCAAAGTTATGCGGCAACATACATATGTAAATAGCAAAAAAAGATATTCCGACTAATTGATAACCCTTCTCCTATTTGAAGTCTGTTAAAAAGGAGAAGGTTATCAATTCGTCGTTTTTTTTTTGTATGTTACCGCATTACTTTGGCCACATCGGCCGATTTTGATAATTCTTTTGCTCTCGGAAAGGTAGTATCTCCGATGTCGTCCCATACTAATTTAATTTAGATCCGATCATTGGATCATGAGGAAGTCATAGGTACTCCTAAATTTGTATATGAGAACTGAAGTCGGTTTGGTTTTTTGCTCAAAAATTACTTGTAACAAGTACATACGTATGTAAATACATATGTACATACATATCCGCCCTTCTAATAAATTGTGTTAATTCTTTTTTTTAGAAAATCCCATACAAATACAAGCGCCACTTAGAACAACTACGTTAAACAGCATGCATGTACCCCTAGATATAATCCATTTTAACTCCTCTGTACCGCAAATTCTGTACGCAAGTGCTTCAGTTCATCGCGATCTTAATTTATTGGATACTGGCGGCATTTACAATGTTTCCACTTTAAATGGTGTCCACCGGTTAGCATTCCAACAATTTCTCAAAGCTGGCAGTGGCGATACTTTGCATGTGGAGCATGCAAATTTTGCGCAAACGCCACTCTACCGTACTTTGAACCACTACGAATTACCGACATTGCTGGACAAAGTTTGGCTTGCCAATGAAAATGTGCGTCTGACTCAACATGTCGAGCTGGCTAATGCGACTTTTGAGGGTCTTTTAGAATTTGAGGTATTCCGCTATCAGCAAGTGATATGCACGCATGTTTCTAATAACATTACTCTTAATAGGGCTTGGTAAACAATATAAATTTGCATTACCTGAAAGATAACTACTTCAGCCTAACACGTCCCCAAGAAATTGGTACAGAAATGATGATGACAAGTGAAGCAAAGTTCGAAGGTGATTTGACTGCTAACAACGTACAGCTAGCTGGTTTCCTAGTCGATAGTAGCAGGTAATTTTACGTCAGGTATTAAACAAATAACACGTATTAACAATTATGCACCCTCCGTAAATGAATTCATGTAATGCAATTTTCCCCAATCAACCACATCTCAAGTGAAGAGTAATTTTAATTGTATATACATACCAGCGCTGTATTACTCATCTATTTTAGCAAAATTTTCAATTTCACTCCAATATTCTGTTTACGAAACAACCACTCCAACGCAAAATAACCGCCGTTTACCTTGCACATTCAGCACAGAAAAAAACATAAAAGAGAAAATCAATTCACTACACATTTTCGAAGCCACTGTCGTTAGTACATGAACAAAGCGACGAAAAAGGGGAGAAACAAAAACAGATGATTCACTAATCAATGCCAGCCAATAAATGTGGTAATTGCATAGATTTTCACGCCATATACGATCAATTTTCTTGTGCATACATTACCTTAATGTTATTAAGAACTTTCGTACATGAAATTTTGCAAATTTCTCCACAAAATATAAAATCGAAGGCCACACGCGAGGCACACTTCACTATTTTCTTCAACAAAACATCAAAATTGTCAAATTGACAGATATGTAAAAAAACATCGATGTATCGAGCAACATCGATTGCCGTAGCTTCAAACATCGATGTTTGTCGATGTTTTCCAATAAATTGGTGAATTTTCGGTACCCAGTACCCGGTACCCAATACACCAAACAGATTTCGGTACCCAGTACTTCCTTTTCTGTGCCCAATACCGATTCTTTACATTAAACCTGCGCCGCTGTAAATTTCAAGTTTATAAATAAAATATTTAATACTATTTTATATGAAATCGGCTAAAAAACACTTATTAAAGTAGTAGATCCAAGGTTCAGGAAAAATGCTGCCGACGGATGAAGTAAACTTTCAAGCCTACAAAGATATGGCGACGGGCCGACATACATATGTCCATACATACATTTTTTAATTGAATCAAAATTAAAAGCTTTCTTGACCTCTTTTCTATCTTTACCGCCAAGCAAAATTATATGTATACATGTTTATAAGCTGTCAAAGTTTTACCGAGCCCCATTAGAGAAATGTCAAATTTTTACTTTGATCTGTCAAAATTTCCTCTTTTCTATCAATTGGCACAGGTCCTAAGTAGGCCATCTTAAATTGGGCCTTAAGAATACAGTGGCACCGAAACTGCTCGTAATGCTTAATACACACGAGGCAACCGTTGCAACAACCTAGGCATGTCAGCATACTAAAGTTTTAACATTTTCCAACAAATGTATAAAAAATATTTCAGCCAGTGCAAGATTTCAAAAACGAGAATAGGTATTTGAATAGACTATTCCTTCTTATTTGTAAGCCAGACGACACCGCTAGGAAAACTGTATAAAAAAAAGTTCTCACTTACATTTGTATGACACAAATAACACGTATTAATGACCATTTTTTATTTTGTATTTATTTTTTTATGTATCCAAAAAAAATTGGCGCCCACTTTATCATCTACTCCAAACTAACTATCATGTTCAGCAGCGATTTGGCTATGAACTTTGATGAATTCTTTGTAAATACTTTGAAAACAGATGGTCCTCATGAAGTGTGTGCTAGCTGGAGCTTGTTGACTGCGCTTATACAGGGTGATGTTGAAAATGTGCAAATTAACAATTTGAATTTGGCTCAAGATGTTGTGCGCTTGAATATGCCGCATGCGTCTTTGACTGCGCCAAAGACCGTTAAGGTATCAAGTATTGAAAAACTGTGTCCTACAAGAAGCAGTACCATAAATCGTGTACCAGTCGCTGATTGGCTACAACAGGCGGTGTATGTGCACGGCAATCATACCATAAACGGTATAACCACTCTTGATACCGTTAACATGTACAACGATTTAAGCGTATTCGGCATAGTTAATAATATTTCGAATTTTGGTGAACAAACTTTAGTACTGCGCAATTTGCACCAAACGTTGCATGGCGATGTACACATCAATAATTTGTTTCCCAAAGAACGTCGCATACTAGTGAATAATTTTGAAAACCTACGCGCCAAAAGCGTTAACGGGCAAACAGTTGATGCATTCTATAAGGATCAGGCAAAATTATCTAGTGTAGTTGCGGTTGAGGGAAATTTGGCATTTATGCAACCTTTAGTGGTGCAGGACTACCACAATCGAGGGGCTCGGGAAGCGATGTGGAAGCGAACGTCTTCAACAATTGATGAAGTCATGCGAACAAGCAATGAACTCACGCAGATGCCTAGTTGGAAAACAACGCTTACAATGGACCGGAAATTGAGACGATCCCTTAAAGGTACATTTGTTTTGCAGATAGAAATAATTGCAAATAGATTTAATTTCCAAAAAAAAATATCTCTACTTCCAGCGACCTTTTATGCCCTTAATAAATTTAATATTCGTCAAAAACTGAAAACAAATGGAACGAAAATAGTATCCTTCAAAATAAGCGAGGAAAATGGTCAAACGATGGATCTTATAGGAGTCGTTGATGAAACAAACAAAATTTCGCCGGTGCAATATTATCAATGGTCAATACAAGAAGCGCATTTTCGCCCTATTCAAGGTAAGTTTTTATGTATCAATTGAATCATATCATGGCCCAAATTCGATAGTTTTCTGAGCGTCTTGTGAAAAGGTATAAATTGATTTTTATAACTTTAGCAAAAATTTAGATATTTTTACGAAACGATGAACCTAATTCTAAAAAAAAAATACGAAAGTTGCGATATTTGAGTAGTATTCGAGCCAATTCGCTTTAAACTGATATTTACCAAAGCCGTTTACCCGGCGTTTTCATGGGGCAATATTGCCAAGACAATAGCTTAACTCTTTTTCACTAATACACTCACACAAAGACAATTGAAGGGGTTAGAATCAAAAGGATCTGACGTTGTTTTAAGATAATTAAAGTTAAAGTTGATTACTTATTGTAAATTCTGGGTAAATTTATTTGAAATGATTCCTGCCTAAATGAATGCAGGTTAATTAACTAATTCAAAGAATGTTTACTCTTTGTCACCATACTATACCAATACCAATACTATATTTAACTATACAAATATGGGTATAACTTTTATTTTCAAAAAATATCACTTAGACCCTTATGATTCTAAGCTCCTCTTCGTCACTGTCTTTGATTTTTCGAAGACAATGAATTGGACAGTAAATTGGACAATTTGGTCACGTCTTGGTTAATTTGAGAAAAAGAGGCAAGACAAAATCGCAGAATTACAAAAAAGTTTGTGTTTGGATATTTTAGTAAAAAAATCGCGCCAAACGACAATAACGGCGGTGGCTGAAAAATGTCTTTATAATTGTCTGGACGCCTACTTTACACAACAATTTTAAAACTAATATCTATTCTCAATTGTCTTATCGTCGCTCGAATAAAGAAACAGTGTAAATGCCACATACACTATTATTCGATAATTGCACCATTGGATAGACAATCCTTTAATCTATTAGAAAAATCTTTAGTTTTCTTAAATATCTCTTTGGCTCACTAAGTTATTTCCGAAAAACGAAATTGTATTTGTATGGTTTGTAATGTATTGTAAAAACTTCCAATTCGTTTTTCTCTAAACTATACTTTTTATGTTACACTATTTCATTATTCCAGCGACGTTATGTAAAGGCAGCGTTAGGGGTAATATTAATAATAATATTATTTTGGCTCTTACATGTTTGGTCAAGCTTCTCTTCCAGTTTGTGGTGTGCGTCCTGATGTTAGATAGATAGACAGATAATAAATTGAGGTTTGCCCTGCGGCCTCGGGGTCTATTAAGCCCTGCACTCTTCACAATACCTCCTCTGGACTTAAGTCCCTGAAAAAATTCAACAGTACCTTAGGGGATAGGGAGTGAATGTGCCTAAGCTGTGGCCACATTTAGCCTAAACTTCTCTCACGGCTTCTGCAGGCTACATCACATTCGGTGCGGATGTGTAGAGGTGTATCGCTGGTAGAGTAGCAAAATCGACAAAGGTCACTCGACCATATCCCTAGCTTGTATAGATGCCCTCTCAGCCTGCAGTGTCCTGTGAGGATACCTGTTACTATTCTAAGCGGCCCTTTGGAAGGTCAATTAAACTTTTGAATCTCCTTCTGTTACAACTCATTGCATGACGCATTCCTGACTAACTTTGCCAGTTTAGACCCCTCATAATGCTCGTCTCTATCCTAAGCTTCCCTTTTAGAGTGTTGGGACCCACTCCTAGGAAGGGCTAAGGCCAACTGGAGTAATGACTGCCGCCTCTCTTTCGAGACAATCAGCCGCCTCGTTACCTCCCCTGTGACCAGGTACCAACACTAACTTGATGTTATTGTGTCTACCAAGGGAGTTAAGTTTCTCAATGCCCTCTAGGACTAGCGACCATTTGACCTCATAGGATATGAGGGCCCTGAGTGCTCTCTGGCTATCACTTATGATTCTCTCGTTTCTATACCCTCTACCCATGATTGTATCCGCATACAGGTAGATGGCGTAAAACTCGATTGAAAGATGCTTGGATATTTCACCACAGGAACAGAGTGCCTGGCCCTCAGTCCGACGATTCCAGCACCTATTCCTTCTGGGGTCTTCGAGCCATCCGTGTACCGGTGTAGAGTGTAACCCTAAAGCAGTGCCTCGAAAGCGTAGACACTCCAGGTTGCTTTACTGCTAAGCTCTATTTTGAATCTTTTCTCAAAGACTATGGTCTTGCCTGTCATCTCTAGGTAACAGGGCTAGTGGGAGCAAGGACCTTAGCTTCTCCATGCTCCAAGAGGAAATGACCTTACCTTTTCCAAATACCTCGCTCGGAATGTTTAGCAGAGTTCTTTTGGCTGCTTGCTCTATGGTTATATGAAGATGCTCAAGGTCAAGGACTACTTCCAGCGCCATGGTTAGACATGTGCGCATCGCTCCTGTTATACATACACATGCCAGTCATTGTAGCTTGATGAGCGATTGTCTCACCGTAGCTAGAGTAGTTCTTGAAACCCAAGCTACCGCCCCATAGGTAATCATTGGCTGTACTATCATGATGTAAAGCCATCTTAGGATCCTGGGCGTACAACCCCAGAATTTTCTCGAAAGACGCTTACACACCATTAGAGCTTTCGAGGCTTTGATGGTAATACAGCTCACATGTTTCCTGATGTTAAAAAAAATAGGGGTATTCTCTGAGTATTGCAAAGCCCTTGCACGGTGCACGGATTGCACGGTTTGCAAAGCTGTCCCATACGAAAACCGGTTTTAACCGTGCAATCTGTGCACCATGCAAGGGCTTTGCAAGACTCAGAGAATACCCCTAATAATAATAATTTAAGCCGTCTCCGAATGGCAAATTGTTTTTATGAGCTTTCAAGGCAGAAATAGACTCGGATTATTGCCTGCAGAGCGGCGACCGCTGTTGGAAAACTTTTTATAATTTACGTGTTGCTAGGGCCAGGGATCTAACCCAGGTTGTTGTTGTTGTTGTTGTAGCGGCTACAACAACCCCGCGCAGATCGGTTGGTATCTCAGTCGTTGTCGTCAAGTTCCACTAACGGCAACCCTAGGAAGCGTGCAGCTTCTGCGGGGTTTGCCCATAAGGACAAGGTCGTTAGGGATGTCGGGTTTGCCGGGCATGCGAAGAGATGTTTCGAGTCATGTGGGGTCTCTCCGCATGCCGGACATTCATTAGGCACATCCTCATTCAGCCTACTCAGGTAGGAGTTTAACCTGCTGCAGTAGCCGGAGCGAAGTTGTGCAAGTGTGGTGCGCGTCTCCCGAGGCAGATGAAGCTCCGTCTCGTCAATGTCCGGGGGTGGTGTGCCTAGAACGGCATTCACAGGTCTAGAGTCTACATAACTCGAGACTGAGTCCCTGTGAATGCCGTTCAGGGCCTGTCTGTAAGCTGTCGGGTCCAGAGGTTGCTTAATGAACCTCTGGACTTCGTCCGTCAGTTCATATAGATGCCTCCTGACGTGCCTAGGCGAGGGCTCCTCTGCAAGCAGCTGTCTGCTTGGGTGGCCACTTCTGTGGCTCCCGATCAGGAACTGCTTGCAGAGCATTATATTGTGCTCCTTTACAGGGAGCATTTGCGCCTCGCCGTGCAGGTGGTGTTCAGGCGACATCAGGAGGCATCCTGTCGCTGTCCTGAGTGCGGTGTTCTGTACAGTCTGTAGCTTCGTCCACTGCGTCCTACTAGTCCCTGGCGACCACACTGGCGCTGCGTAGTTCAAAACCGGCCGGCCTATTGCCTTGTATGTTGCCAGCAACGTTTCTTTGTCTTTGCCCCAAGTACTGCCGGCTAGCGACTTGAGGACCTTGTTGCGGCTCTGTACTTTATTGACAATAGCGGTTGAGTGCGCAGAGAAGGAGAGCAGGCTGTCGAATGTTACTCCGAGTATTTTGGGGTTATTCACCGTCGGAATTGGTGTGTCATCGACGTGAATCCCCAGCGGTAGCCTGACCTCCTTCGTCCAGGTTGTGAACAGGGTCGCGGAGGATTTCGTAGGGGAGAGGGCTAGACACTTTGCAGTGAAGAAGCGAGAAAGTTCGGAGAGATAGCCGTTTACTTTCGAACACAGGTCATCAATTCCATTCCCAGTCGCCATGATCGAGCAATCGTCGGCATAAGAGACAATCGAGACTCCCTCTGGTGGTTGAGGGAGCTTTGAAATGTAAAAGTTAAACAGTAGCGGGGAAAGGACACCACCCTGAGGAACCCCCTGTTTTATTTTTCGCTGCTTACTCGTTTTGTCTCTAAACATTACCGACGAATGTCGACCACTCAGATAATTTGCCGACCACCGTTTGAGCCTCTGTGGGAGAGAGGAGGCCTCTATATCTTCTAGCAGCGTGGAATGGCAGACGGTGTCAAACGCCTTTGACAAGTCCAACGCTACTAGAATCGTTCTCTCACAGGGACGGTTACGGTTAAGGCCACGAGTTATCTGAGTGTTTATGGCGTTAAGTGCTGTTGTTGTACTGTGCACTTTACGGAAACCATGCTGATGCTTCGCTGGGGTCAGGTGGTTTGTGAAGTACGGGAGTAGCAAGGCCTCGAGTGTCTTCGCTACCGGGGAAAGGAGTGTTATCGGACGATACGAATCTCCTTTGTTGGCAGGTTTCCCCGGTTTGAGCAGTGGGACCACTCTCCCCACCTTCCAGATGTCTGGGATGATGAGAGTGGCCATTGACAAATTGAGGACCTCCGTTAGGTACGCTACCCCCGCAGGACCCAAATTTTTCAGCATCAGCATGCATATTCCGTCGGGACCCATGGCTTTGGAGGCTTTCGCCTTCCCGATGGCCACCTGAACTTCACCGCAAGTGAAAGCAAGGGGGGCACAAGTTGTTGGCAGTTTGTGCAGCCTTCTGGTCACTCGACGCTTGGCTTTGTCCACCGGAGGATGCAGTATGAACTGCCGGCTAAAATAGCTCGCGCATCGCTCCGGGTCCGACGAAGCATGGTCGCCGAAGGAAATTTCGACTCTGTCGTCGTGCTTCGTCGGATTAGACAATGACCTCACGGTTGACCAAAGCTTGCTCACACCAGAGGTGAAGTTGCAAGTCTTCAGATGCTCCTCCCACTTCTTCCGCTTATGTACGTTTACAAGTTGCCGAATCTCCGCGTTGAGATCCCTGATACGGGGATCTCCGGGATCGGCCTGACGAAGGCTATCACGCTCATTTGCTAAAACAGCCGCTTCGGCAGGGAAGTTTGGACGTGGGTCCGATATGCACCCTGCCGGTATGAAGCGGGCTGCAGCAGCAGTGATAGCCCTGCGGAACTTACGTTCACCGAGGTGGACGTCGGTTGGTGTGGGGAGCGATGTGAAGGTGTTTTCAGTAAACTCCGCGTAACCTTTCCAGTCAGCTTTAGAAAAGTTGACATAGGTCCCAGGTCTTACGGAGTGGTAGTACGCGCCTCTACCCACTCAGCAACCACGGCCAGCGTAAATTTATTTTGGAAAGGGTATACACATTGGTTTCAGTCAAGTTACAGAAATTTTTTAAATCAAAAAAATTACATGGTAAATTTCAGAAATACAAAAAACGCGAAATTAAAAAGTTGCCGATTATATAAAGTTGGTATCGCCCGACCTTAGCTTTGTTTACCTATTACTTTTGCTATATTTTTAAATAAATATGTTTTTAAATATGTATTAAGACTTAGTTTTTACTGAAGAAGACAAGCTTTGTATACTATATATAATTACTTTATTACTTTTAACCGGATTGACAGTTCGTGGGCATATTATGTCTTGTGATATTCGAATACTAGAGATAAAAAAAATTTCCAAAAAATGCGAAAATCAAATTCTATATAAAGCTCCAAAGTCAGATGAAATGTTGTTAAAAGGGTATAATTTTCATGCTGCACATGCGACAAACGGAAACCTAATATAAAAAAAAACGTTTACTGCCAAATTTTACGTAAATGGCAGCCGGTTTGTTAGAAAAATTACGAGTGTCATGCAATACGTAATCAGCGTAAAAAGAAACAAATTTTAAAATACTACTAAGAAATTGATGTGGAGTGTAGCTACTCGGTTGTCTTCCAATCACCAATTACCCATTTATTGTTCCAATTCATCGCTTTGAACGTCGATTATAGCGCGCAGTATACCCAATTCAAGTTTTGCAGCCGAACGCGGTCGCAAACGATTCATTACATTGGCAACATAAAGGCCCAACGCTTCATGACGTGATGAGTTGCAAAGATTCTTGAAGAATGTTGGTGGCAATGAATTGTCGAAATTTCCTAAATTAATAATGCCACCTGGTGCATTTGTCTGATTTGGATGGTTAGCGGCACCTGTAACGGGGCCATTAATGGGACCATTTCCAGCATCAAATATAATATCATTACGAAAGTCAATCTCTTCAAGTCGTGGCGAAAATCCATTCGTGGATGTAGATGCTACAGTAGCAGCGGTTGAAGAAGATGGGCCACCGCCAACACCACCATTGGTCAACTCAACACGCGGATTTCCTGTTATTGTAATTAAATTTATTCCAGCTGGCGGACTATTTGTATCGATCGGCTCCTGTTTAATATTAAGCGATTGTGCATGACTTATGGTAAGAGTGTTCTCCTGTAATGCACCACTAGAACTTGCGTTAATAGCGGCTGCAGTACGCACAGTAGGTGTTGGTGCAGTTGCGGTGGCCGTTGATTTTGCAGGCGACACCTCTCTAGGTGACTGTACATTGTTTGGTTTTTTAGCAGGCGGTGTACCTCGCTGTGATTCGGCCAATTTACGTTTAATGGATTCAGGCAATGGTATAGTTTCGCCCACTCCTAATACCTGCCCACCTACTCGAATAGTGTTTTTCTGTTCTGGGTTGTTGCTTGAGGATTGAGTCGATCGCGGTGTGTTACTACCTGTAGGTGCTGCTGCAGTATTTAATGATGTTTTCTTCATTGTGATTCCTTTCTTGTGCAATGCGGCTGCAGTTGCAGCAGTAGATGTGTTCAATGCAGGCGAAGAGTTTCCTCCAGTGTTCAATGCTGGACGCGTTGAAGGAGCTAAAGTATTCAAGACTTTCTTTTCTTCAGAAGCTGGAGATGAAGCTTTTTTCGGCGCTGGAGTAGCAGAAGCCACAGTAGCTTTGGTGGATTTAGCCGGGACTTTCACCAATGGCTTTTCATCTTTTTCTGGTGTTGTTTCAGGAGAGCCTCCAGATTTCATTGATTTTGATGGACTTTCACCATCTGAAGTAGCTGGAGGAACTTTTCCTTGTGGTGCTACTGGTTCTTCTTCTTCTTGTACTTCAAGCATTTCATATTCTTCATCTTCTTCCATAGACATCATACCATCCCTAAATCAAGTAAATAGGAGAGTTCAGGAGAGTTAAAATTAAATTCTATGGCTACAACTTACTCGTCTGGCTTAGGTTCTTCCTCTTTCACAGGTTGATGTATTTGCTCCATTAAATCGAAAAGTTTCCATGATGGTGTACGCTTGGTCTTCTCCTGTTCATATTTCTTTTGGAGTACTTTGAATATCGACCGAGCTTCGTGTACTAAAATTGTAAATGTAATCAAGAAACCCTTAATAACAAATCAAATTTTACTTACCCGACAATTTATTATTTTTTCCGACGCGCGACCAGGCATCATCTACTTCTTTCTTGCCTGCTGCCGGATAATTTGGACGTAATACTTTTTCTTTAGCAATGTCCGCCAAAATTTTATCCAACTGTATAGGCATCTTGTACAAATCTATCGGCGTGTGGAAGCCGCAACTTTGGTTATAAGAACTATTTTAATGTTCGAACAAATGTAATTCACAAAAAATTTATATACGCTTGTGATACTTTTTCATCTGCTTTCTACACTTTTCGATGTTTTTTGTGTGCAGCTCCTTGAGCGAAGCAACGCGTTCTTGCAAAAACAAAGCGGTAGCGAATGAGAAGTGAAACGGCGCGCAAAAAGCACTATATAGCTATTTTGTTTTAACTTATACTCTTTGATAGGCAGGGCAACTTATAACAACGACTGCTGTTTCGCATGCACGGCCGATACATTAGGAAACGTTTGGAAAGGTTGCAATTCATAGAGTTGCATTAGTACCTAAATTGTTTATTTTTAAAATTAACAAAATGCCTATAATATAAACGTACAAAAGTGAATTTGCATTATTTCAGAATGTTTACAAGTTGTCACGCTGGGTTGTTGTTGTTGTAACATCAAACAAATGTTAATGGGAAAGTGGAGAGGGAAATTTTTTTTCTTTATATACGTGACTTATATTTTAAATAAAGAGCGAAATACACCACACAAGCGGTTTGACAAACNCTTTTTCTTTATATACGTGACTTATATTTTAAATAAGTATATATATTACGCAAATACCTCGCAAATTTGCTAATTTAAGTTGGTTTTTGTATCCAAATCCCGTTAAACTAGTCACATGTTTCTTTCCAGCTACCAACAAGGTTGCTTAAGTAGCTTTTGTCGCTCCCTTACAAAAAAATGCACCTAGAATTGTTNCGCAGATACCTCGCAAATTTGCTAATTTAAGTTGGTTTTTGTATCCAAATCCCGTAAAGAGCGAAATACACCACACAAGCGGTTTGACAAACCAAGCGAANTCTCTGTTGTAGGCAAGAGCGGCAGTGCGGTGAAGATGGCGGGGTAAAATGAAAACTGAGTTGTCAAACTACGAAATGACAACTGATGTTAAGGAATTCGGCAAGACAGATATGGTTTAACAGTAGAAATTTGCAGTCTCTACCTGAAACTTCTGTCTTAACAAAGTTTTTTTAACATAATCCATTCAAGGACTTGAAAGCAATTGAAAGCTCATTCTCTTTTGTGTTTTCTATTTGCTTTTACACGTTTCAATTCTGTTGAATTCAAGTTTTTGGTTCTTTAAATGGGAAGCAACGAAAATACCAAAGCTAAGCAAGAAAATTGAAACGACTTGACGGTACAGGCGCATGTGTGCTCGTCCCTTTTCTTCTCACCCCCTCTCTTACACAAGCGAGCAGAATTGAATTCAATACTTGAACTGTGTAAAAGCAGTCTAACCGATTCTGAGAGTTTCGGCGCCAGTGTACTACAATTAGTTTTCAAAGTCACAGTAGTGATAAGGTCCAAGCCGAAAAATAAAACTGAAAATTGGGATTCCCAGGATGCAGCCTACGAAGTTTTCATTCGTACTTTGCGTTTTTGGTAGCATTCTTCCGTTTAAGATTTCCAGGGCAGAAAACCATGTACACAAAACTCAAGGCAATAGATCGTTACCACTTGTTATCAATACCTGGGCATTTACCGAGGCAAATACAGCTGCTTGGCGAGTACTTAATCACCAGCCAGGCGGAAATGCATTGGACGCCCTTGTCGAAGGCTGTAGCACTTGCGAACGTTTGCAGTGTGATGGCACCGTTGGTTTTGGTGGCTCGCCGGACGAGAATGGGGAAACCACACTCGATGCTATGATTATGGATGGCAGTAATATGAATATTGGAGCGGTTGCAAGTCTGCGACAAATAAAAAATGCCATCCATGTAGCACGGTACGTATTGGAACATACAAAACACACACTACTAGTAGGCGATGCTGCAAGCAATTTTGCGGAAAAGATGGGTTTTCACCGCGAAAGTCTTGCCACTAACAACTCGAAAGGAATTTGGAAAGAGTGGCACGATCGGTCTTGTCAACCAAATTTCTGGCTTAATGTTTATCCGGATCCAAGAAGAAGTTGTGGTCCGTACAAGCCCGTCTCGGTAGAATTTAACAAACAAACAAGTAGCACACGCTACGAATACCAGATTGGACGGGGGAACCATGATACCATAGGCATGATCGTCATTGATGGAAATGGTGAAATCTATGCGGGTACATCTACTAATGGCGCCACACATAAAATACCAGGGCGTGTGGGCGACTCGCCGATACCCGGTGCTGGAGCTTATGCTGATAATGAAATCGGGGCAGCTGTGGCAACTGGCGATGGTGATGTGATGATGCGTTTCCTTCCTGCACTGCTTGCGGTGGAGGCATTGCGTGCGGGTCGCGCGCCCACATTAGCTGCAGAAATGACAATGCAACGTATAGTGCGCTATTACCCAGATTTCAGTGGGGGTTTAGTCGTTGTCAATCATCTCGGCCATTATGGTGCTGCTTGTGCGGGAATGACAAAATTTCCATTCTCAATCGTAAATGGCGATTCGATACAAACGACAAGGGTAGAATACAAGTATTGCAAAGAACCAACAACATTTTGGTAACTTTACTGCTATATCTTTAGAGTAATTAATAACTTGTGATATATTTGAATTAATAAAATAATCTTAAATTTTTAATTTGTTTTATTTCTAACGATTAGACGATATTAACAATTGAGTTTGTTGAAGGTTAGAAAAGCAATTATTGTACGAGCCCACATCTAGCAAGACTTCTTTGCGACCCACCAATAATTATATGCATTCTTAATTTCAGAATATACATGGCTTCCAAAAGTAAGAGATTTTCTAGAATTTTTAGAATTATTCTCCAGCGATGTCGATGGGATAGCGGTATTGAATAAAACAACTACAGGACAACTGATATCAAGTCTTCAATCGTTTTTCGAAAGTTTGCGAGGTGATAAAAATATCACAATCATTACTTTCTTCGCAATAGCTGGAGAACATTGTTTTGCAACACATATGGGGCCAAGAACAGATTCAATTAGAATTTTTTGCGTTAAAACGGAATTTGAGTCAGCCATCACAATATACGAAAAGTTCACTTTACCCAGGAATGATATTAGACAGGTAACTTCTATAAAAAAAAAAAATCAGAGCAGAATATCTATTTAACAGTTATTTAAAATGCTTAGGTGCTTCGGTTGGACGGGGATAAAGTAGCACTGTTGCTAGCCGATGGCATTGAGATATGGCGATCGCACCCGCATTTCGAATTTATGCACCTTTTACCACTTTCGAAGGCAACTAAAGGTGTAAGCGCCAAATTCAACAATGTCACCTTCTTAGCAGTTCAATTAAGAAAAGAATCGAAAAGCCTAAGCAATGGAGCTTTAGAGATTTATCGGTACGTATACAGAAATACTTCGATGGACAAACAGTGACAACTCGTTAACCCAATTTCGGAAAAATTGCCAGTTATGAGTTTTCCTATGTTGTACCACAATGTCGGTTAGGAGTTGTCAATGTTTCATCATCGACTTATGTTAGCTGCCTAGTAATAAACAAACTTTATTCATTAGCTCCATAAACTCGACTCACTTTGACCATATGCAAAGTTTGGACTGTGTGGATCCAATACAATTTTCATTCAGCAAAATCGCACTAACAGACGACTTACTGCTGTACGTCTTGGGGCGATCTATTGTTGCGCCATTGACAATTTATCAATATAAAGGTGTTTTGGGCTTTAAACGAATCGTAGGAGCAAGCACACTCACCGTTGGGCAGGCTTACAAAATTTTAGACTTGGAGAATGCAACTAAGCCAATGGTCATGCTAATGAACGATGGAGATTTAACATTTATAGAAATAGCGCTGAGGAAATTTTGAACAGTACGGCACAAACTTGATCGAAAAAATTAAATCTAAAATTCTTCAATTAAGAACATTTTGTAAATAAAACATAAAGCAAAGAAAATATAAAACTTTTATAAATTTTGAATTAGCGTACCTCTAAAAGGACGGACCATAAAAAGCTATTTCTGGATAGTGCTGCATCGAATCTTCTAAACAAATTTCAAACATATTCACCTTGCATGGTCCCAATATTCAATGATTCGCTCATCACTTTTTATCAGAGAACTTTAATGCTTCCTTTACTCGATTCACGTTGTTTTTGCAAATAAAAAATGAATTTATTATCGTTAATCTGTACTTTAATAAACTCCTAAACCCGGACGATGTTATTTAATTGCTTCATTCATGCAATATTTTAAAGTTTTGTTTAGTCATCGCTGGATTCAACATTTTCTGTTTGCAGGTTCTTAAAAGTGGAAACAGGCACATATGTCACCAGTGTGTACAGTTTGTTGGGTGAATCCTCGTCATCGTTTCTCCTGCGAGCAAGACGTACACGCACGCGCACTGGAGTTGAACTGGGGAAAAGAATATTGCAATTAGTAAAAAACAAAAGTTGCTTTATTTATGTACATATGTACAAAACTTACCGGATACCCTTGGACCAGATGTGCTTATTCAGGCGAGTGTCGATCCTCACATCGTTGGTGCCCATTTCCTTCTCAGCGAACTTGCGGATTTCCTTAATGGCCCGAGGCGCACGTTTTTTGAAGCCAATATTGTGTACACGCTTCGACAAGTGAATCGTGCACTCGCGAGTAACCACCTCATTGATGGCAGATTTGTTACGTTTCTCAACCTTTTTTGTTTTCGCCATTTTTGGACCGGAATTTCTTGCCTGCTAACAAACCCCTGAAAAACCAAATAAAGACCTTTTGTGAGCATTTATTTGGAGTTCAATGTGGGTAAAAAAATAAATTGAACGCCAATAATAATGTTTTGGAAAATCATCACCGATCATTCTGCACTTTTCTAAATTTTTATTTCTCGTCCATTCGACACATTTGATGGAAAAAATTATGAGATTTTCCAACTAATGGGAAATCTCCGTGCATAATTTTACACATTTTATCAATTAGAATTTGCAGAATTTCACGATGTTTTACGATATTTATTAGGAAATTTTCAACAGCCAACCTATCGGAAATGAAAGCCTGACGTAAAAGAGTCTGACAGCCGTCAAATGGAAACGTCAACGCCATTTTGCTCTAATTTGACATTTAATAGAGAGGTTATAATGATCATGGCGACATCAAGTAGTGATGTTTGCATGATTTAAAGTGAAAGCAGTTCTCTGACTATACGTTCCCTGATACTAAGCAACGCGCCATCTATATTTCAAGTTTTAGTATACTCTCAAATCAGCTGATCTTAAAATGTAAATAAACAAATCCCTTAATATGCTTAACACGGTTTGTAAGTGAATATTTCACTAAAAATCCATAAATTTACAAACTTTTTTCAACAGTAGGGCTTGTAGTTGTTGGCTTGCTGTGGGGGGCCACAAATCCCTTCATACGTCTTGGCAGCGAAGGCATTGACAATGTGGATACTGGTTCACGGTGGCGTAATCTGTGGCTGGAGGTCCGCATGATAAGCACACGCTTTCATTATTGGATACCATTCCTCTTAAACCAGTTGGGAAGCGTTTTGTACGTGTGGACCCTACAACATATAAATATAATCGTAGCTGTACCTGTTGCCAATTCGCTGAGCTTTGTATTCACTGCTATAACAGGGTACTGCTTGGGAGAAAAGTTGCCCGGAAAGTGTAAAGATGAGCAAATCTATTGTACGTATGTATATACTAATATACCTAAACAATCTTCTAATTGCAGCTGTCACAATCGGTACGCTATTAGTCTGCTTGGGCAGCTCGCTAATGTTATATGACAAAATGAGTCCCGACCAAGATGTGTAATAGGAGAATGTATTGAATAAAACGATTTCTTTGTAATGTTTAACAACCTAACAACCAAAACTTTTATTTACTGCAACACAATAAGCCACTATAGATTAAATAAACAGTGCTATACCATTGATTGTTGGCACCCATTTTCAAATAGCTTTATGTACAGCGTCCACTAGGGTTTCCATACTTATTATAGGCGTTTGGGGAGTAATACCATGCCCAAGATTAGCTATATAGCGATCTTTTCCAAATTTTCGTACCATCTCGGTAGTCAGCGCACGTATTTCTACTGGCGTCTTGTACATATCCTGTGGATCCAAGTTCCCTTGTAAGGTTATGTTAGGTCCCACTTCTTTCCGTGCCTCAACAGGATCAACTGTCCAGTCCAAGCCTATAACATCATATCCTAAAGTCGCTTGTTCCTTTAGTGAATGCCCCGCGCCTTTAGCGAAAATAGTCTTCAAATAAAACCAAGTTATAAAGTTATACAGCAGTTGCAGTGAATACTCATTACTCACCATAGGTACTACTGGTATTGACTGCTGCTTCAAGCGTTCGTCTAACTTATCGCGAATTTCTTTTAAGTAAGGCACAGCCCACTTTAGAAAATCTTCCTTGCTTAAATTTTCCGCTGACGATTCGAAAATTTGCAGTAGTTGCGCACCGGCTTTCACCTGCATTTCTAAGTAATCAATAATGGCATTCGTTAACATGCTTAGTAGCATTTTCGAGTCCTCGGGGTAATCCGTAAGCCAAGCTTTTGATTTTGCCATGGTTTTGCTGCCGCCTCCTTCAATCATGTATCCCATCAAAGTCCACTGCAGTCGAAAATTCAAGCATTGCAGTATAAGTATTACCGTTCTTTAATCGTAATTATAGTATCAAAGACTTACCGGTGCTCCAGTGAAACCAATAAGTGGCACACGCCCTTCCAACATATGACGCATCATAGTAATAGCATCGCCTACATATGTCAACCGTCCTACGGCGCCCTCCGGTGTGAGCTTAGCTAAGTCTGCAGGCGTTTGTAATGGCTCAGGAAACACTGGTCCCTATAATTAAAGCTTTCAGTTATGAACAAATGAAGAGGTTTTTCCTTCTAACTCACCACACCCGCATGCATTTCCACTATCATACCTAGAGCTTGAGGTATCACCAAAATATCGCAAAATATGATAGACGCATCCAAATCGAAGCGCCGCAGTGGCTGCATTGTTACCTCACAGGCCAATTCGGGGGTACGGCAAACGGTAAAGAAATCATGTTGCTTGCGCACCTCTTGGAACTCAGGTAGATAACGCCCTGCTTGACGCATCACCCAGACGGGCACACGATCAACGGGTTCACCCCTCGCCGCGCGGAGGAGATTATCATTTTTTAGTGGGGGGAAATTCTAAATGGATAACAATAAATATATCTTATATATATTTTCTAAGTAATTTGCAGTGTCATGGCTGTTCACTATTATGCGTATATGGTAATTTTTAACAAAACATATGTATGTGCATACATACATGTTGTTTTATCGCGCACGTGCCGGCAACAGATATTAAAGCGTATAGTATATATATTAGGGCACAATACATTGCTTTTTCTCTTAAAAGTTTAAAGGAATTATTGAACTTAAGTATCATTCAATGATGTAATTTATTCAACTCATTTAAAATTGTCTTCTTTTCATTGTCCCACTTCACTATTACTTACCTTTGTGTCTTTCATTTTCTTCCGTGTTAAACAGTTGTCCAGTATATTTTATGCTTTCTATTGCGTGCTGCGGCCCAAACTGTCAGCTTTTAATAAGGTTTGCTTTAATTTATATTTATTAAAAGTTAAATTCCTCTATATATTGGCCGGTAAATAGACAACATAAATAGTTCGCCTTCTCTTATCAACTTTTATTTTCTTTTTGGAAAACCTCAGGGTTGTATCGTGCTCAAGGGATATTCAGCGTTGCCGCGAGCTTGAGAAAAAAGTTGCCAAGCCGAAAAAGCATCAAAAGTAAACACTACTGTAATTTACTAAACTTTTATTTGAAAAACAAATACTAAATAAAGTTTTATAATTAAATCTATAGTTATAAAAAATTTTATATTACTTGCTTTAAGAAAAACAGAGAATCCATATGCTTATTTGCATAACGATAAACAAACTATAGGGCTCCTAAAGGCAGATCCACATAGAACTTTGGCGTTGGCGTTGATTAACAGCTGACTATGAATACACACAATTATATGGACATGTCCACATATCAACGGCAACGCCAACGCCAAAGTTAAAGCACACAAAAAGATGGGCATCTCTCATCTTTTTGCGGGCGTTGTTAATCAGCTGTTGCAAAAAAATAAACTTATGTGAATTATTTTTAATTTTTAATCAAATGTAGGCAAGAAATATAACTTTTCATGCAATTATTGATATGAAGTATTAATTTATCTGTCGTTAGTACGTTAATTTAGTGGTCAAAGCATTCGCTGCCAAGCGTTCATTGTAGTAAGCATACTTTTAACGTGCGCTCTGTCAAACCAACGCCAACGCCAAAGCCAACGTGAACGGCAACGCTGGGCATATTACCTGAATCGTGGTCAGGGCTGCCAACTATACTAAAGGGACGCTCAAACAGACGCGGTATTGGAAGTGCGGTACAAGGCGGTACATAATACCATGTTCTGACCGACATCAAAAACATGTTTTCGTCGCTAAAACTGGTTTTCGACCTAAAACTTGTGTTTTCATCCATGTAAAATCTGTCAAACGAAAACCAGTTTTCGCCGAAAACTCACATTCCACTCATTCCAATCGGTGTCTTCACTATTTTTTTTTTTTTCGATTATTCCTCGAAGTGGAAGTCATATTATATCATTTTAATACGCCATTTCGGATTTATTATTAATTGGCTGGCCAAAGTAAAATAAGAATGAAAGTAAGAGGTTGCTAATGAAAGGAAAATGAGGGAAAAGCATTTTGGTCTTGTTTTTGTGTAGCAAAACTGTAATCAGAGGATGTAAAAAATGTCAACGAAAGCACTAACCGCCGGTGTGAACAGCCTTCATCCCACAATCCCAAAACTTGTTTTTAAAGGGGTTTCCTTGTCGGNGGAAAATGAGGGAAAAGCATTTTGGTGTTGTTTTTGTGTAGCAAAACTGTAATCAGAGGATGTAAAAAATGTCAACGAAAGCACTAACCGCCGGTGTGAACAGCCTTCATCCCACAATCCCAAAACTTGTTTTTAAAGGGGTTTCCTTGTCGGTCAGAACATGATATAACTATACTATGTACCGCCTTGTACCGCACTTCCAATACCGCGTCTGTTTGAGTGTCCCTTTAGCTATGAAGTGCCATATTGAGGACAAAAAAGTCCCAAAATGTGCCAAATACAAAAATAAAAGCGCCAAAAAAGTTCTATTCTTTTTATTTCCTCCCATTTAGCATTAAAATTATAAACACATTCCTAAATCATAAGTAAGATAAACTATGGAAATGAAAAAATTTTAGTTGAGAAAAAGAATACACGCTAAGGATTTCACAAAAATCTATACAAATATCACTACATATTTTTCCAAATTGTCATTTGGCACTTTGTGCCAAATTGAAAAGTTGTGCCATTTGAAGGAAAATAGGGCCAAAAATGACACGGTTTAAGCGAAGTTGGCAGCCTTGATCGTGGTGTATTTTCTTAATCATTCCAGGGGCTTGATGACATTGGAAACAGTCTGGAATACTGGCTTTGTTTCTTTTCTTTTCTAGGGTCGGCAGGGTTAGAAGGAAGGCAAGTCCCATTCGGACTAAATGAAGTGAAAAAGCGGAGCAGAAAATCCAATTCCGTATTAGATTTTTTTTATGTATATTGACACGTCAAAACTTGCCTTTTTAGTTAAAAAAAAATTAAAATAATGCATAACAATAGCCTTTAATCGTGTCCTTCAACTATATTATTTAGTAAAGTAAAAATTTTCCATATTATATAACATTCTAAGCCCTTGTTTTTATTGGTGAACGTTAGTTCAATTTTTTAGTTTGAAAATAGAACTCCTGAAGGGGTTTAAACAAATTATTCATCGGGTAATTTCAGGAAGTTCCTGAACAAATGAAGAAAAAATTAAAAATAAGATGTGTTTGATGACAGAGATATACATACCTTCTAAGTCAATAAGAATCAGAAACTTACTAGGCCAATATCTAAAAAAAACCGTGATATAACTGAAGTGAAAGTGCATTCAATCCTCATTTGAATACTATTTCTTGGCCGTATAGATAAAAATTAGAAATTTCAAAAGTTAAAAAATTATATACGTGCATTAAAAACCGATTTTTTCAATCAATGTTACAAAATCTTCATTTGTAAAGGCCAGTATGCAGCTCTCAAGAAAAGGGTCAAGAAAAAAATTTCCATTATTTCATGTGTATGTGTCCAAGAAATTTTGACATCTGATACTTCATCAGCCTATTGCCTCACATTTTCCTCAAGGAATAATGGGAGGAGCATATATATCTGTTGTAAGCACGGGTTGCCTTGTGCTCTGTTTTCACTGACAAAAAATTAGAAAACCGTAGTAGAAAGCGTAGCAAATTTCTTAAGAACTGCGTGCTGCCTCAAGAAAATTTTACACAAGAAACTTTCTCCTCAGTGCAGCTTTGAAAAAAATCCCTCTCAGAGTCAGTTAATGATTCATTAACGGCATTTAATGAACATTAAAGTTAAGTAAAGAAAAGTCTTTACTTAACATTTTAACGATTGACTTTGACAATTTTTTATTCAAATAAGATGCCATTATGCAAAACAAGAGCATTTATTTTCTCACATTTGGGGCGTGTGTGAATCGGTAACAAAGTTCTATGGGGAAAGCTGGTGAATAATTCTTTTACTATGTAAAATGTTTTGGAAACAGTAAATTTTTGATAACCGCAGATTTATGCAGAATATAGTATTGCAAATCGAAGTGAAATTAATTTCATAAGAAAACATCTACCATCATCGATTACAACTCATCAGTTTAGGCTTTTATTTAAGGAAAAATGACACACATCAACCACCTTTGCGATTGGTAAAATTTTCTGTGCATTTGTAAAAAACTTCACTAGCTTCATGATGTACAAAAATTTTTTTCACCTCATACTTGTCCAAAATTTACACGCCGCGAACTTTGTTACCGATTCACACACGCTCGTAGCAATAAAATAAAAACCACATTTTTAAAGCAAAAGTGTACCTAAACATTATAAACCTGTGGTTTATACTTTAGAAACTAGAAAATTTCAGTTAGCGAAAAAGTGGCTCCCCAAACCCCCCCTAAACGAAGGAGGATGAACGCCGCTTTATGAAGTCACCCCTCACCCCCCTGGCCACCCCTAAAGACCTCTTGGGAGCTGTTTGAAAATAGGAGAATTTTAGATTTTTTGCAAGGAAAAAACAAAGTTAAACTTGCGTCCGAAGAAGGGGGGCTGAACAGCTTTTGCAGAGAACATCTTTCTGCGTAGGCGGCCTTCGGCCGCGCTTAGGGATTATAACCCTTACTACGTAGAATTCTCCTTTCTGTGTGACATAACTGGCGCTACCGCCCCAGTGATGTAACCTTGGGAAAGGATGAGGTAACTAGAATTCCCTTTCTGTGTGGTAAACCTGGGGCTGCCGCCCCAGTGATGTCTATTTTGGTTACTGGGTGTTTTATAAAAATATCTTGTATATAAAAATGTATATACAAATTTATAACAAAAATTTGCAACAAACACCATATTTCCAACCAACATTACTGTTAAATTAGTGCACAGATTTAGTAAATTAAATTTTTGTAATAAAGCGTGAAATGTTGTCTACAAGTGTGTGTAAAAGGTTTTTGATTCGATTCACGCGTTTGGGCACAACAACCCAAAATCGTTGTACAAATTCATAAAGAGTACCCTAGGAATGTGTTTCTAATTTTAATTCTAAATGGAAAGAATTACACATTTTTTGGCACTTTTATTTTTCTATTTGGCACATTTTGGTACTTTTTTGTCCTCAATATGGCACTTTATAACTAAGGAAAGCTGGCAGCCCTGTAGACACGTATGAAAAGATGAACAAAAAGCCCACAATCAAAATATCTGAGCAAAAAAGTGCTTTCGTGTCACAGAAAGAACAATACAGTTGACGCAACAACAAATTTCCACACACCAAACAACTCCAAAACAAAATCCAATCAGATTGGTCAGAAGCAAAACCGATAAAGCAAGAACAAAGTGGAGAAGTTGTTGCAATCTTGAAAAGTTCTAAAAATATCTACATTTGCACATATATTAATTGGCCAGCAGTGAAGAAAGCAGAAAACACAGGTGCGTAATTTACAAAAGGCAAAAAATATATAATTCTTTGTTATTCCAAAAGTGCTAATCATTACTTTTTTCATAATATTACGTGAATTTGGGAACAATAAACAAACAGTAAGAGAACTTGCAAGTAGTTTGAAAGTAAAATATGGCAGACGAGCAACCTAATCTTGTAGCTGGACACCCACCAGCAGGTATGTGGATTTCATGAAGCTTAAAATTATTTATACATTTATACATACATATATATGCAACCTGCCAATTTGTTATGTTATCCATTTTTAAGCTATTTGCATATAAGGGTGTTGTAAAAATTGCGCAGTGGGCAGGCCTGTTTAAAGTAAAAACGGGCAAACAAAATGCCATTGAATTATATTTAGTCTGCCACAGTACTCCAGGATTTAGACAGATACAGTCAGACTTAGTCCTGGAGATAGTACTGAAGATATTAGATCTGTTCAATGAGTGCACTAAAAGTGTAGTACAGTGCGGTGCAAAACAATATGTGACATTTAGCGAAAGCAATCACATGCGTTTAGTGCAGGAAAACCCCTCATCGAACGCATTTTCTCGCAGTGGAGTACTCTATTTTGTTCATTCTGGAGTACTGGGGGGCTACTCTGTAATGCGATGCGAAAGAGAAATGCGATGCGATAGGCTACAGCATATAACATACGACGTATTAGCCTTTCGCATCGCATTGCTCTTTCGCATCGCATTACAGGATAGCTGCGGTACTCGCCGTGGCCAACTTCAAAGGCCCGTAAATCTCCCGCAAAATCTTTCTCTCTGATACCCCAGAGCCGCCCAATCGGATGTTGTTATTGTCCATGCTTCTGCGCCCTATACATATTTATTTATTGGAATGTTGAAATTGGTGGCTTATCAAAGTAAGAAAATGTACTCATGACTAATGCTCATCTTCGTTTTCTTAACAGTTAGGGCAGGTGGTATGCGCATTGTGCAACACAAGGCGCCTACAGCAGAGCGCCCAGCAAAGGATGCCGAGGATTGTACAGGATTGACGGTAAAGACTTTGAATACATATTGTCTATATACACGCATAGCTATGCTACTTACATACATAATGTATATTTTAGCAACCAGTTGCTGTCAATAGCACGTCTGTGAGCGGTGCTCCCGTTAAGGGCAATATTGATTATACACCACAGGCCGCACAAGTGGCCCATTCACCTAAACCACCGGGGTTTGTTGCACATAAGCCCCAAATACATATTCAACAACCTCGTAAATGAGAGTATGTGACACGCTCCTGTCGTTCAAAGCCTCAAATTATGCAACGTCAACAAATGCAACAACAACAGCTACAACAGGAACAGCCAAAACATTCCAATTCAAAGGAACAAAAACGGGAAAAGATTCATTCTCAGCGTAGGCAACAGAAGCGAGATGCGTAAAATATAAGCAAAGAAATTTATATGAAAAAAAACATTAAAAAATAATAATTTTATAAAGCAGGGGGAACTAAACAAAATAAGTTGCAACATTTAAACATTTATTAACTAATGCTCTTGCACTTATTTTAAACTTAACACAAGTTTTGAATTATAGTTCCAAAGAATAATAGAAATTTGTAGTCGTAAGACAACTAAAATTATTTTCGCTAGCATTTGCACCAATTAAATGTAGCACCGATAGTACATACTATAGTGCCGAATTCAACAGAGCAAAAATTCAATATTCCTGAAGATAATACTATATAGTAATTTAACGTCAAAATGTAACCGCAGTTATTTTCATTAATTTCATTCCAGTCGCAATTAACTTTTTGAGGTACCCAGTTTTGTAGAAAGTATACCTATACATACATATATACAAATAAAAGGTGATTTTTTTAAACTATTATCACGAAAAACACATTTTATTATTTGGTACTATCGATTAGGACGAACTCGAAAATGTGTACTGTATGCACATACGTAAAAAAACCATAATTTACACTTTGTCCGAAAACGCAACGAGGCAACGTGGCTAGTGTTTTTTTCAGGCTTATAGCAGATTTCGTTCAGAACACTAATGTTGAAGTAATTACTTCCGTATAAACCGTAAGTAAATGCTTCAAATATGTATGATTTCTATAAATTAAAGAAGCAACTTTAAGAGAACTCCAAAAGGCCTTCTGAAGCAGGCCCTTCTGCTAGGCCTTCCATGGGTAGCGAAAAAAGAAGCCTTTCAATTTGTGCCACTCTATACAAAAAAGAAAGGAAAAAGGAATAATGTAGAGTGGAAGGCCTCTTGACTCTTAGGAAGGCCTTTCGGAAAGGCTTTTAACTCCTGAATTTATCTACAAGGAAGTTAGTAAGTCTAGGCCTCATAGTTTCGGAGAAACAAAAATTTAAATCTCACCATTGTCGGTGATTTCGGAACCTTTTTCTTTGAAATAGAAGGCGTAGAGAAATTATATTGACTCAAACAGAATCAGCATCATAAAATCTCTCTAAGTATGACTTTTATTTTTATCTTATCTCAGAAACCAAGGGGCCTAAAAACATTTTATTTGCGGTCGATTGTATGGTCGATTTTCCTCAGTGAAATGCTGGCTCTGTTATGTCCCAATAAACTATAGGTACTAAGTATGTACATATGTATGTATGTACATATGTACATATGTATGCACAGATATTACTAAATACGAACGTACAAGCATTTATGAGTAATTCCAAGTGCGGTCCAATCTCTAGAACTATGTTATCAACGTGGGATGCACACTAACACGCAATTTCTATTGCAATTAAACTATTAAACATGCACTTATCTTATTAACCTACATTTTACATTGCAGTGTGTTAATAATTTTCATTCACAATTGTAAAATCTATAATTCGCACATGCTTTTTCATGTTAAGATCCACTTAAATTAACAAGACAAACCTTTGGTAGGTGCCTCTCTGAGCTTCGGTGGTCCGGGGTGCAGACTTCAAATCTGTAGTCGATTAGCGTCGAAGTGGTTCGATTCCACCTGAGGGGCGTACACATTTCATTTTAGTTTGATTGTGTTTTCAACGTCTTATGAATTAATTAGAATTACCTATTTTTTGGCATTAATTATCATCTCACTATCAACCACTCTGTAGATAAGTTGTAGAGTTAGAAATTCTTACACAAATATTTTTGCGGGAAAACAAAAAACTTGCAGCATCGCAATGCATCCATTTGTGCGTTGGAATTTCATGTACATTTTTCGTTTTCCGTTTTTAGCGGAAAACCACAGACAGTTTAGGTGCCAGTGTACTATCGAACGTCATTTAATATCCAAGATAGCAATTGAATCGATCAAACAATCGCAGGAAATTGCGTGAAAGTTTAAATATTTTTCATTTGTTTTCTTGTGTTTTCTTGCTTAAAAACTTTTATCACACATAAAAAGGCTAGTAATGCCGCAAGCAGTTAAAATTACGCCGGAAGAACTGTTGAAACTTCGCGATGATTGTATGGAACGACTACGCGAAGCAAAAATCCATGAGTTGCGTAATGATGCTAAGTTGCGAGCGGTAAATACAACTCAAACTTACGACGAATTCAAGTAAGGGAATCCACTATGAATATAGTGAATATTTATAGTTATACGTGCATATGTACGTACTTATATTAATTAAACGCAACTTCCTTTCAACAGAGACATTGTGGATGCTGCACATTTGCAACCGGTAAGTAAGCGGGATAAAATGAATGCGAAAACGAAGAGTCGTTTGTGGAATTCAGCAGCACGTGAAGAATAGGCTGAACTCACACACTTGTATACACGTGCTTAAGGACGTACTATAGATGCAAAAATATGTATGTACATATCGTCACTTTAATTCACAAAGTCCATAACCAACACTTTTCGAAACTGCGTTTTTCACAGATTTTTGTAAAAAGTTGTAAAATTTTAGCAAAAATTGTAAAGTGATAGTACCAAAAACAACGCAGTTAGATGCCACTTTTGAAAAAGCCCTACCTGTTTTTGATACTCTTTTTTCATAACCTTTTTTGCTTCTCCTGCAAAAGAAAAAAATTTGTTAACTAGGGCCTTTGTGAATTAAGGTAACGATATATAATAATAATAGTTTTTAAATAAACTAACTTTATATGATGATGAATTTTATTTGGAGGTATGGTCATATTGACGGAGGAAGTTGGTTCATAGATAATATCTAACGAAGTTTTATTGAAAAATTTGGCTACTTTTATGGAAATCAAATTAGTTATAACCAGGGACCTATTTCATAAAAGTGACAGGTGCGACAATTGTCGATCATTCCCACGACAGCCGGTTCTACGTACCGGAATGACTCGGGTTTTACCCTACCAAGGGCTGTTGTTTCGGCGATCTAACCCCGTTTAGGTCGGCGAAGTATCTCAGAAGTTGTTCGTCCATAGGGCTACATTCACTACGTATTCTTCTACTCAGGGCTGGCATCGAGTCAAACCCAGGGCCAGAAACCTACACCTGCTGTGTATGCCGGACGACTACACCACAACTCCACCTCAGTCAAGTCTAATGCCTGCGAGGGGTGGAGTCACCTCAGAGTCTGCTCGGGACTACGGACACACCGACAGTGGACCACGTCGTACGTGGCCCCCTGTTGCTCAAACAGAGCAGCCTCCACGGCTAACCTCAGTCCACCCGAGCAGCTTCACACAGTCTCCACAGCACAACAACATAACAACACAATAGACCACAACACAACCACGGCAGACCACAAAACACACACAACCGCACCACCACCCACACGCCGCCGCCAACAACTCCTGGTTCCCCCTACAATCTGCACGGTATGTCAGACCAGGATATTCCGTAATGTGATATCAGTAAAGTGCAACACCTGTCTTGGCTGGTGCCACTTTAGGGCATGCTCAGGTCTGCGTACCACGCGAGATTGGACTGGGAACTTCGAGGGCCCGTGTTGCGCTGCTCGGTCGCAGACCCCAATTGCGACGCCTCCCGCCACCACCACAGAGCGGCAATCGTCACAGCAGCGCACACAGCCAACGGCGGTAAGAACACACACATCACTTACACCCCACATCACGACACGTCTCCCGAACCACATGAAGCTCCTTCAATTTAACTGCAACGGGCTACAGAGCAAGATTGAGGAGATAACCGTCTTCATGTGTCGGCATGGTATATTGATAGCTGCGGTCCAAGAGACGAAGTTGCACAGCAATTCAACTTTGTTGAATTGCGCCGGGTACAACGTGCACCGTCGAGATCGCGAGCGAGATAATGGTGGTGGCTTAGCGTTCATCACGCACCACACCGTGCAGTATCGTCTTATCGAAGCAGACATCGACCGCAGGGATACCACCCTAGAATGTCAGGGCATCGCTATCCGGTCAGGCGATGTCGAGCTCGAAATATTTAACATATACATACCCCCTGTCACCTGCTGCCCGGCAGGATATCACCCTGATATAGGTGCGCTCCTCAGAGGTGAAAACCGTATGGTAGTATGTGACTTTAACGCGCACCACGATCTTTGGCACTCAACGACGCACCCACCAGGATTATGAGTAACTGCAGTAGCTCGCCAGACATCACCATTGTCAGCGCTGGTCTGATAAACAGCATAACATGGCGACCTATGCTGACTTTAGCATCAGACCACCTAC